GCAGCAGCGGCAGAAGACCACGAAGACACACAGAAGACAGCCCCCTTCTACAGCAACAAGCTGCCCCTATAACACGAAATAATATTTTTAATGTTTTATTGAATTGAATATTTCAATTATAATAAAAAGAAGGAAAGAAGATTTAATTAATTAATTAAACAACTGCAGCAGCAAGTAGGACAGAACGAGCAGCACCAGCAGAGGCAGAGGCAGAGGCAGAAGTGACGGGTGGGGGGTGGTGGGGGGGACACTAAAAGAGCATTTTTAAGGGAATATTTTGATGTAAATAATGAATAATGAATTAAACAATAATATTTAGTCGTTTTTATTGAAAAATAAAACAATTTATACAAAGAATACCTCCTGTTACCTCTGGCCCTCCCCCCCTCTGGCGGCGCCTTCAGCGGACCACACCATCCATGACTGCAGCATCGCGGGTGCCTGTACACTTCATTTTAACGCGTGAACTCGCCGTTTAAAGTGTTAATTAAGTATATTTCAACATTTAATATTTAAATTTCCTCTTTTTTGAGGTATTATTCCCCAAAGACGATAATGTCGCCCCCGAGCAGCCGCCCACAGTCGGTGCAGCAGTTGCAGCAGCAGATTGCAGAAGCAAGGGCTGTTGCTGCTCGTATTAGTCTTTCTATGCGAATGCAGGTGTTAAAGGCATTTAGAGAAGGTCTTGTACATCAAGAAGAAAAAATATTAGAGGCGAATAGGGCTGATTTAGAGGTAAGTAGCTGCTTACGCCTCCTCCGGTTCAGAGGCAGGTGCAGCACACTGGTCTGCACCACACAGACAACACAAAAACGCCTCTCTTCTTGCACAACACCACCTCTAACACATTTCATGCATGCATGCATGTATATATGCATGCATAAAAGTCTGCATGCAACCGTGCATGCATGCACGCTTGCATGCAAACATGCATGCATGCTTGCATGTTTGCTATGCTGCTGCAGGAAGCTAAAAACAATGCGTCTATCTCTCCTTCTCTTCTTAAGAGATTATCTTTAGATGGGGATAAAATAAAGAAATTAGTTTCTTCTATTGATGCAATTATTGCTGCACCTAACCCTATAGGCAAATGTACACTTGCAACAGAGCTTACCCCAGGTATACAACAACAACAGCAGCAGCAGCAACAGCAACAACGACAACAACAAACCAGCACCAGCACTAGCAGCACCAGTAACACCAACAGAACCAGCAATAGAAACAACAGCAGCAACTACAACAACAGCAGCAGAAGCAGGACTTGTTGTATGTTGTGTCTGTAGGTCTTAATTTATATAGGGTAACAGTCCCTCTTGGTGTTTTATTGATTATCTTTGAAGGTCGTCCTGAGGCTTTTATTCAGATTGCTGCTTTAGGCATTAAATCAGGAAATGTATGTCAGCAGCAGCAGCAGCAGCAGCAGCAGCAGCAAGAGGAGCAGCAACAGCAGCAGCAACAACAGCAGCAGGCGGAGGACTTTCGCCGCAATGTGCAGGCAGAAGAACGATATACCCACTACCAGTGTATTAAATAATTAATATATTTATTATTTATTTATTTATTTACGTATTTATTTATTATTTATTTATTTATGTGCAGGTATGTTTACTAAAAGGAGGAAAAGAAGCAGCAAAAACAAATGCTGCGCTTTATGATTCATTTGTATGGGGTGTGCATTCAGTAATGGGGCTGCATGCGGGTCTGCATGCAGGTTTATTGCATGCAAGGTTATCTGAATTAGCAATAAAGGAAATAAAAGATTTATGTTCCTTAATACAATTAATAGAGACAAGGGAGGAGGTGCAGCAACTGCTGCAGCTGAAGGAAAGTATTGATTTAGTTATACCTAGAGGCAGCAAAGAGCTGCTGCAGTATATATATAATAATACATGTATACCCGTGATGGGGCATGCATCAGGTGTATGTATAGCTTATGCAGATGCTGACTGCAGCGCAACACAGCAGCGGCTGCAGCAAGTAGTGGATATAATTAAAGACAGCAAGATGCAATATGTTGCTGCATGCAATGCATTAGAGGTGCTGCTAGTTCATCGTACTGCAGCAGCAAAGTTGCTGCCTGTCCTAGGAGAAGCATTAGCAGCAGAAGGTGTAAAATTTCGTGCGGATTCTGCTGCTGCTGCACTGCTTCCTGCTGCAGCAACAGAACTAGCAGCAGGAGAAGAAGACTTTAGGACTGAATGGCTAGCACCTATATTATCTATACGTCTTGTGGATAATATACAAGAAGCAATAAGACATATAAATAGTAATGGATCTCATCATACAGATCTTATCCTCTCCTTTTCTCCCTCTAATATAGAGGTATTCATGAAGGGTATAGACAGCGCAGATATATTCGCTAACTGCAGCACAAGATTTGCTGATGGATATCGATTTGGTATGCATGCAGAAGTGGGTATAGCAACAGGAAAAATGCATGCAAGGGGCCCCGTAGGTATAGAGGGCCTCTGTACATATGCATATAGACTATATGGTAATGGGCATACTGTTGCTGCTGTTGAGGCAGCTAATAATACACAACAAGGTAATAAATCTTATACACATAAACCTTTACTTATCCTTGAGCCCTCTACATCCTCTAATCCTTCAATAACAACAGAGGAAGGCATCGATGCCTATGAGCGCAGTCGCCTCCTCTCTCATTAACGTTATTTAAGACAGCATTTTAACCCGTAAACTGTACAAATATAAATTATTTGAGTGTCTAATTGATTTATTTATGCAGTATATTGGACGAATTAACTGCGGATGTCCCTCTTACTGTGGTGTTCTTGGCTGTGCATAGATAAACCCTACTCTTATTCGCGGGTTATTATTATTATTAATCGGCAAAGGGAGCTGTGCATATAACACCTGATACCCGCTGTAGAAACACCAGAAAAATATTTATTTTAATATTTTACAATAATATTTAATATTATTGCAAAGGATATTTCATAACGAAGACAACAACAAGCGCTAGTATAAAGGAAGATCTAACTAACGGTGGTGTGTAGTCACTGACTCCTTCCTGTTGGCAGTATTGAAGGGTTATTTTGCCTCTCTTCTCCTGCAATTTCCTGTCATTAGATAAACTACATGGGTATATGCATTTAATAAGCAAAACTAGATTAAAATAAAGGGAAAACATGCTGCTGCTGCTGCTACTGCAAGACGAGGCAGCCAACAAATCAGGCGCGGTCGCTCGTTGGTGGCGGTGACCCTGGTCTACTGTATGAATTACCGCTTGATTTTTGGCCCAAAAAGGGAATAAATTAATGGACAAAACATAAAATTAAATACAACGAATGAATAAAAATAAATAAAATTCAAAGATATTTAACTTATTTGCTTTTTTTCCCCTCGCAAGACCCCAGCGTGTGATGATGTCTTCAGACCAATGGCTGGCTTGATTGCCCTCCGCCGCCTCCAACATAAAGTAAGGCTACCTAGTGTGCATATGCTAGCTACGCTTGCCTCTTTTCAGTTGTTTTAATGTGTCACTTTATTTAAAACTATTCTATTTATTGATTTGTTTCTTTTGATTTAAATCGCATACTTTATACACGAGCACTGACGAACCTCTTGGCTGCCTGTTCTTTGGTCACCAACAAGACGCCTCCGTGGCTCCTTCTTTATTTTTCTCTTTATACAACTTAGTCAGTGAGTTTTTTCCCTCTCGTTATATATTGTAAATTGAATTGACTTATATTTTGGCATTTTTTTCCTTTGATTTTCCCTTTTCTTGTCAGCTAGCCACGGTTCTGCTGAGGGGTTTCCTACGAGTTCGTAGTTTCCCCTTTTGCTTGGCTAGTTATATCTGTACCTGTTGTGCTGCCTCCTCCTGTGCTTAAAACAGAACAAAATGGATTACCCAATGATTGCCGCGATCGCTAGCCACCAAGACCGCAGGCTGCCGGTGTTTATTCCCCGCTTGGTGGACTATCCTCCTATCTTCTGTCCTCCCCCACCTTACATGCCCCAACAAATGTATAGAGGACCAGCAAAGGCGCCTGTTAACAGACTTGTCAACACAAAGTTATGCAGTCGTTATCTCTCCAAGGGATACTGCAGAAAGAGAGATTGTACTTTTGCCCATTCTGTTGTAAGTCCTCGTCTATTTAGTTTGTTAGTCTTATATTACAGTATTCATGTGTTAGCGCAAGTTTATTCAATGTAGAATTCACCCTCCATTTATTATTTAAATATAAATATATTAAAATAGAAATATATTTAATAATTATGAATGCGTTTATCCTCTTTTTTCTCTACAGGAAGAACTGCGCCCTACCCCTGATCTCCGGTGCACTAAGTGGTGTCGTTTCGTCTTCTTTGGTCTTGAATGTAATGATGCTCGTTGCCCTTATGCACATTCACAAGAAGAACTTCAACCACAACCCCCAGAGTTTAAAACAACTCTTTGTAGATTTGCAAAAAGAGGAAAATGTCTAAATGGAGATAATTGCCGGTATGACAAGATCATCATGTTATTTCGTTTCCTGTTGCTGTTCTTCCTTCTAGTAACTCCTTTTCCTTCTCTAGATGCATAGGTAGTATTATAACTATAGGTTGTATTCTCTTTTCTCCTCATTTTATTTATGTTACATACAATCATGCATGCATGCACCTGCAACTCTTTGCTGCGGTACAGATTTTTGCATCCTCACGAAGTTAGACCTTCCTCGCACCGCCGCCCTGAAAGACTTCACAGAGTTCCTCGTCTTAGCAACCCCTCTACTGAAGAAGAACTGGCGGGTGTACAGACAGTGGTAGAAGAGGAAGCAGCAGCTCGCTTTGTCGCTCAAGAATTCGAGACCAATGAAGAGGAACTCATCAGCCCACCACTTGTCCCCACTACGACCCCCGCTGCAGCTGCTGCAGCAGCAGCAGCCGCAGCAGCCGTGGCAGTAACTGCAGCAGGAGGCGTACCAATGACTACTAGCCCAGAAACACCTCGTGTTGTCAACAGAACAAGGCCTCTTCTATGCAGTCCCTGTGTCGTGACAGGTGTCGAGACACCTGCTGGTTACGAAGAAGACGACAACGGAGAATATGAAGGAAGTTCTACTCCCTCTCGCCATCAAAGACAACGGAAAGCTACAACTCTTGTTCCTAACACGCTTTCTCGCGACTCAACAAGAGATGACGAGCTGCATGGCTCCGTAGAACGCATCATGACAGCAGCCGGCACTCTGGGTTTGGCTGAAGACCCTAACTAAAATGAAAGGAATTGTTTTGATATGGACTATCAGGAGGGCTGCTCTCAGAGTAACAATAACAAAACACATGACCACCAGACAGCTCCCTACTGATAAGCCAAGCCCAACGAACTAACGTGCATGCACGCATGCATGGCGAACAGCCAGCCAGCCCGCTGCAGCAACAGAAACCTGCGAGAGAGTCGCTGCTGCTTCCTGAGGACAGCTGAATTCGTGTTTGGAGTTTGTGCTATATTTTCTTCTCTTGCAAAACTGCAGTACAAACTTCACCCATGAATTTTTGTGTTCGCTAATATCGTTTCGGTGCTTAGGGTGGTTGTTGATACGATGTACTAGAATGGCGTTAAACCCTAAACCCTAAACCATAAACTCCTTGCCACCGGTGGCCATACTTGGGTGAGACACAAGCAAACGCGAGTTGAAGGAATATTCAATTAAAGAAAGCATAACAGGTACAGAGTTGTGGCGGCATTTTGTTTAGGAAAGAGACGGCCAACTAGGGGCTCTTCCTCCCCCTTGTTTCTATTGCATGTGCAAAAAACAACCAACAAAAGCCCCCAGACAAAACCCGAAAACTTAAGCATAACGAGGCCTTTCGGATCTCTCACCCCCAACTCTTGCCTCCCCTGCACGATCGCCCATTGGGCGTCTGGGTCTGCCCATTCCCTGCAGACAGAAGAAACCACATTTAAATCCCTGAACCCTCAGCATTCGCCACCACTGCGCAACTGTATTCTTTTCAAGAAATCGAAACGGAAGGTTAAATATTCGATGGTTTAAAAGGGGTATCATAAAGGCATGCATGCACCAGTTATAACATGCTGCCTTCCTCGTGCTGAATCCAAAGGGCAGAAGTACACGTAGAATACTACATAAAGGTACAAATTGTAAGTAAAACAGATTGCTTTTCATCCAACGGAGACTCACCCCTCTCCAGTTCTCGGGATCGCCACCACCCTCGACCTCTGTGTCGGGGCGCTGAGCGCGTGTCGTCGTCTTCTTTGTCAGAGTGGCAGGGAAGACGGTGACAGGGAGGCGGAGGTAATCTCTAAGGTATTCCATTCCTTCGTTCTTAAGAGTGTAGTAGTTGTGCTGCCAGTTGAATATCTCATCGCAGAAGTCCTTAGACTTGAGCGTTTTCATAGCCATCATCACGTGCAGATTCGGCACGGGAATGTCCGGATGGCGCTCCAACTTGGGGTTCTTTTGCACCACCAGGACGCCCTCTGCAGCAAACAATAATGAACAATAAATAGCCCTAAACCCTAAACCTACACGACCTTCCATTTCATGCAATCCAACAATCACCACTAATCTACAGGCTGTATAAGGAAGGAAGCCACGTGGAGAGGGCTCAAAAAGCTGCCGGACCCACGTCAACACGAAACCTCCTCCACATTTGTTCAATATGCATCAAATCAAGCGTGCAGTTTCAGTCTAAATTCGAGCACAGTCACATGCATGGAACACGGAATGGGACTGCGCAGACCCCACGAAACTAGGGCGAAGCCACGGTTACCTAGCTGATGGCGTGAATCCAAATGCCCGAAATTACGCATTAAATATTCTTAAAAGGCATATCTGTCCTTACCTTTGAAGAGGTACTCATAAATCATCCGTCGATTCTTCTTAGGAATCAGACTCGGCTTCATTCCAATCGTCATCTTGGCTGCAGGTAAGGGAGACGGAGGCAACAGCCCAGCACTGGTGGAACAAACCAAACAAAAAGAAATACCCCTTAAGCGGCCATTGGCTTCAGTGATGGCATCTAGACCCTTTTTCATCATTCCTTTCTCTCGTTCCCCGCAGCCCCCCTCTGCGTTCCCAGAGCCCATGCAGCCCCACAACAGCCCCACCCCGCCTTGTATTATCCCCAGCATCTGCTTCTGTTTATCCTCATTTCATCGTCAAAAATTTTTGCTATAAATAAATGTTAATCAACAGGTGCATTTTGGGAGCCCGGACACACTAACTTGGCACGAGCATCCATCTGAATTATAGCCCCACAACGTCCTCATCGGAGGGCGCGACGGCAATTAATGTACCAGGATCTTTCTGAAGTTCGAAAATGCATTTACATTGACACTGTGGCAGGCCAAACAATGGCATTCGCGTGTTTGAAGCAAGTCAACGGCGCTACTGCAAGCCGCAAGGGAAGCTTGGCTGTTGCTGCACGAGGATTTTATAGAATGATCTGCACATGCTGCACAGTCTATCTGAAATGGCCACACGAATTATTATTTGACGGTAGCACATAAGCTCTAGTCAAGCAATAGTTTTCAACAACTCTCTACACTGCATGCACATACAGCCAGTAGGGGATGCTTGCACTTTGAGATGCAGCAGAGTGTTGAAAAGCATGTTAGAGCAGCTCTTCTTACCCAACTCAAGGAGCTGCAGCTACCGAAGTCAGCACCACTGGAAACTTAGGAAGGAGATCCAATGCACCTTAGGAACCCTCATATTAAGTATTTATGCCCTATATGCAATGCTCATCGGGTCGGACAGAGGATCTGCGTTTCAGGTTTGCTGTGCACCAGTGCTTGCTGTACGGTGAGATCTAACGCATGCCAGGAAACCTCCTCTCCTCAGTAGGAGCAGCATAATGGATGTGTAGTCCCTCGCCCACCCTCCATCCCTGGATATCCTTTTGCAACAGTTCAGCAATACCATGCGCTCTCATCCCAGGAAACGACCGTCTGCTGGGTGCGTCAAAGAGGTAAGATCATCGTAGTGTGAGCCTCCTAGACTCCAGGAAATGTTCTTACAACAAAACCAATTCATGAAAAAAGTACCAACTGCTCGCTGTCCGGAAACGGCATGTGATATCAAAGCAAAGGAGAAATCCGTTGCTGTATTGGAACCACGGTTCCTGTTTTCAACGCACTCGGAGGGCCATTGTGCTGTGATCTGGCCGTTACTATAAAGGTATGCACGACCCACGCTTTTGTGCAAGTCTACCCGAACGTAATTCTAGACATGCCGTGGGTGGCCCAGTGAAACGAGCGCATGCCTGATGGAGTCATAGGTTTCTACGAGACAGCTTTGAGGTGAACGAGTGTAGGTTTCATGTTTCCTAAAGGCAAACGCATATACAGGCATGAAAGCAGCATCCCAACAAAAGGGACTAACAGGATCTAATGCAGTACTTGGGATCTCCAGGAAGCAGCGAAGAAACGCATTAAGTGGAACATGCAGGCCTCAGGAGGCCGACCGGAAATGTTAAAATTCGGCTTCATATTACAATAGCTTTTCGTAGCCAGTAATCGGATGTCCATATGCAAGAACATTGTGCAAGGATTTAGCCGGAGTCTCGTGGATTACTTTTTCCACCTGCGGTGTGTTCGGCAACTCTTGCACGAGAACGAGTGTTTGGTTCAAAAACACAACTGTTCCAGCTGTCTCGCAAGAAATTAGAATCGTAGGGATAAGTTCATCGAAGGCAGGCATCGCAAAAATATTCGAAGAAAATTTGGGCTATCTGGGCGCAGTGGCCGCTCCAGTACACCTCCACGGCCACTCACAAATTGCTCTATCTAGCAACATAATATGGCATTATTATTCTTGAAATCCGCTCGTACTTCTGTTCAGTCGACTGGATGGGTTAGTCCTTGCTCAGAACTGCCTTGGACAGAGCGCGAAAACGCAGCCGCCAACAGCGGCACGCAACATCCGGTATTGTCGCCAATGCTCGCGTTTTCTGTCGTCGCCGAATTCTTCTCCGCAGCCAACTTGAATCACCCGACAGTTGGAGTGTTGCCTTCTCAATATAATTTTTAAAATTCAGAATCAAGTAGATGCCTGCTGCTTGCACAGGTTCCCCAATAGAGGACGGAAGTATATGGTTCTCAATAAGGAACGCTACTCGTTAATCCATTTTTGTGCATTCACTAACACTGTTGAAAAGCTATCAGCATTGAATTCGCCTTCGGCAACTTACTAATCTGGCCTTATTTTCTGTCCCTTGGCTTTATGTATGTTACGGCGTGAAGTCAGTGCTTGGTCTGCCGCTTGCGGTCAGGCTGGCGTGCGTATCTTTTCATCTACAGTATTAGTACGTGCAGTGAAGGGGGCTCCGGCTTGCTTGGACGTAGAGCTGCCTTGTAGCACCAGTTACAATAAAGTGCGTTGCAATCAATGGTATTCCGCCTGCTTCCCACACGAGTTCCAGGGTGGCAAGAGGCTTCGGTCGTAGGCTGCGGTCCTTGCGAGATGTTTACTTATGGAAGAGTTCAGGGAATTTTGCTTAACTGATGCAACGGCCTGGGGCTCTGGGGAGGGAGCGACCTGATGTTTTGCCTTGCAACATGCGGCTTAGACACATGAGGTGTAAGGCACCCTCACATGTAAGCACAGCCATACCATTTAACCTTCTTCCATAACGCTTTAGAGGTCTGTTGTGCTTCTACACTCATGGGGGCTGTCTGCTAGGGGGCATCGGGCACACTATGCCAAGCCAAAGCGGCAGATGGTCCCAGGAGGTCTAGGCAACTAAGGGGAACCCAACTGCCTTCTGGGAGCACTTGTATTAAGTATTTTAATTCTGCTGCATCTCAAGACGGTTTTTTGATAAGATCTACGAATCCTGTTACAAAAAACCCTTGCATCGTACTGCGTCGTGCTGCGTGAGATTTCCGCCCCAAATCACCGATGCAAACCGCATTCACAGGGAAAAAGCGATTCCATTAAATAATTCAACATGAGAATTTAGAATGGCTGAGTGTTAGTTGGAGTGTTTTCTCTGAAAGACATTTCGGTGCCTACCTGGCCCCAGCCCCGCCGTGACCTGCTGAGCCGTGGCCGTGAGAAGTGGGAAAACGTCCCTTCAATGTGCAAAAACTCTCTTAGGGATACGCATTTTGGTTTGTAGTTAGACTGTCTCATTTGTAATTTTCTGGATGAGCGCACGGTGCCGAAATACTCAACAGTTTCTCGGTTGTGGGGCCGTGTGACAACGGAGGCGGTCTGCAGCAAATTTTACGGCTCATTCAAGCACACTGAAAAACATAGCAATTGCTGGCGATTGACCAAACCGGCATTCTTATATTATTCGAAGGCGGCATTTCTTCGGGTTAGCAACCCTTCCCAGCCCGAGTGGCGCGTTTCTTTCACACCAGGCTTATCTTCACCTGAATGCCTCGAACTAGCATTGCTTCAAAGTATCGTATGAGGCTTAGAAACGAGTAATCACCTCTGTTATGGTGAAGGGCTTGCGGCAACCACTGTGCCGCAATGCCCAGGTCCCATCGGCGCTGTCCGGGCAATCAGAGGGTTTCTAAAGGACTTGTTTTACAATCTAACTAGCAGCGCCTAAGTACCGAGGCTAACCAAGGGTCCGGAGGCACCTGGAGATTGCCTACCTTCTTGCATACGTAAACGGCCTACCCGGGTGGACTTAGAATTTAGGTTCCCCAAAACGAGGCGAAAATGATGAAAAAATTCGGGCCCGAGGAGATATCCGGCCGGACTCTGATGAAATCGTCGATGCACAGGGCAGTGCGGGCACAGGTGAACTCAGATATATCTTTTGTCTTTTTTTTCGTATCTCCGTTCTGCTGCAACGTGAAAACTCAACTTATCATCTTTCCCCACGGGATTTTGAGGATGTGTGAAGCGCTCATTTTGCAGTAGACTGGCCAGCGCACAACAGTCTGCACATAGAAAGAAGAAAAACGTCTCCCAAGATGAGCATAAATGATGTTTCGTGTCTAGGCACAACTTCTGTTGTCTGCGCGTTCGTGTAGGTTCTGGAGGTATATCCCCGACTTGAACCCGTCATGGAACAGATATGGCCTAAAAAGGCTTCGACTGAGCTCTTGAAATGGTAATCGACAGAAAACGACAGCCCATTGCAGCGCATTGCTTATTGTCTATTTTCGGTTGATAGGCCCCTTCGCGTCCTGCTAATCGGCGCGTGGAAGTAACGAAATCAATCAGAGAATCACCAACACAAAGGCAGCATGAGATGGATGTTCTTTGTGCGGCATTTCAGTCAAAACCACATCTCGTTGGTAGCGGTAGACGGCAAGCCACTTTTTTTTCGACATCGAGAGAGGCAATGGGTTCCAACATTGCGGCTGTTGCATGAATGTAAGTTTGCCGCATTTTCGCTTATCTGCGCGCTGCTCTGCACATCTGTCTGTCGCATGCAGCAGTCGGTTTGCTATCATTTCATAGACGACTGTTTTCCCTCTGTCGATTTTGGCCTTCTGCCCAGATGCATTTGCGCTGTCATGCAGATCCCTCTATGATGCCTAAGATGCAAGTAGACAAAGGCGCTGTGAAGTTTGTTTTAAGGGGCTCAAACGTGATGTGCCAAGGCTTGACCTCTCCCGGTGGCAAAATGGACGAGGTGCCGTCCAATACAGTTGTGGTGAGGGTCTAAATTGTGAATATTTGCTTAGCTTAGGAGTTCCGTCCTGCACCGCTTGACTGCACCTCGGCATGCTATCAATTGTCTGTGGATGTGGCGTCTGTTCTTGGTGCAACAGCATTCGTTTATCGCAGTCACAATCATCACGAATCACATCTTGTGCATCCGTCAATACTTCAGGACGTCCTTGTTAGCATAAATTTGTTAATGATAATGCATCTAGAATGGATGTTCTGTATGTACTACACTTTGGCATAATATGAGCTTTTCTGGTTCTTTTTGCTGCTAATATGCATTTCTCCATATGCAACTTCACAGCAAATCGCAGTGGAGGGAAAACAGCATAGTTGCGCCATAGGTATCACCACCATGTCGACGGAAGATATGTAAGGCCCGTTATCCGGCCCCTCCCCGACCAAGGTTACATGAGATAGAACACTTTAGTGCAGAAATTAAGACTTGACCTTTAGTAACAGGCTCCTTTAGTACGCAAAAAGTGCGGCTTGCTTCTCGTGGCTCGTGACGTGCTTAAAGCATCTGTAAGACGTGTCTCCCTAGTATGTATGCTTTCCGTCTTGATTGTTCTTGACCCGTTTGTTGCTGCGTTCCTTAATTTTCAGACGCAGAGAGAACAAGGGGCCCTGCATCGAGACCTTAACATATCTGAACGATGGTTTGTGGACATTGGATTCGGTCAGCCGATCCTAGTGTTGTGGATGGGGTGGGCCTCTCGTCCATGTTGCAATTCAACTATACGTTGCGTTCTGTTTCTTGTTGAAACAGAAGACCCTTTCCAGGGAGGCAGACACAGCCTTTACTTGTTAGCACGGCTCCGAGCCCTTATGTTTCGTGCCAACGTAGGCTACCTCAATTTTTCGCATCATCCCTGGGACTCTCAGCCACCGTAGTTGCTCCCCAATGCCGACATCACACTAATAGACAGAGATGTTCGCTCTCCGGGAGGGTGCGATACAAAACATCTACGCTGGATGAGTATCACTTCATGTAGCATTTCGCGGCTTTCATGTGTGTCGGGGGAGGAGCGTGGCGTTTGCAGTTAGGCGCTGACACGCAATGTTCACTTGTGCAGTTCATCAGCTAGATGCTCTAAGTTGAGAGGGAAAGACGCCTCGTAAATCCTAGAGTGTCACTATCTTGCTCCAAAGTACAGTATTCTTCCTCAGCTTATGCTGTTACTGCTGAGTGCAGTTTCGATGCTACAAGAGTGGTTGAGTGCTCTCAGCCAGTTCGCCTCGTACAGCAACATAAGCGACACTGTGCTGTAAGCCAGCATTCTTGCATGTAACGGGCATTAGTTCCCACACCCTCACACTTGCTCTGGAATATGCTGTAGTTCTTTTTGTAATAGTTGAAACATTGAAAGATGTCTGAGCTCGGGCTGCCCTCTGTCCTGGACTGGCAACCGCATGATGCCGGGGGGACAAGCGCTCTACTCGATAGGTCCAGAGGACTACAGCCGCGTCTAAAGGTATTTTTTTGCCTTTATTCACCACGTGTGTGTAGCGCATTGGCTTTTTATAGCCACGTATGCTCAGAAAACGAGGTGACAGCGTTCGGGTTCCCGGCTGGCGCCGATCGTGTCAGGTGCGGCAGCTAAGAGGACAAAAGGAGGCTGCGGGTTCTCCCTTTGTGAAGACACTACTGTGACTTGAAAGGATACTGACAGGCACAACCACAGGTCCGTTTGAATTCGTCTGAATATTCAATTTCTGTTGTTGAACCGGCCGGCCACGACAGTGGGGCGCAGCCAGCCTTCTCATGACGGCGAGGATGCAGCAGGAGAAGCGGCAATAAAATGAATAAATCTTTGAAAAGACGCTATAGGTGTGTGGGAATTGACCCTATGTTGGCTTTCTGCGCACTAAATGTGGAAAGCTGCTGGCGCCACAAGGGAACGGTTTGAACGGGCAGCAAGCCGCAACACCGTTGTCTGTGGCCGCTGCAGCCATCATAGCCCCAAGGCACCGAAGCCTCCGCTCATTCGCCTGCCTTCTTTGTCCTACAGAACTTCGTTTGAACAGATAAAGGTCTGAAAGACTTAAACTGCACTGTGACGCTGCTGCTTCAGTGTGCCCTTAACCACTCGCTGCTGCGCCACAGAAAGAGTCGTGGGCTAGGGCAGCAGGAGCACAGCATTGGCGGATGCCTTTCTGCTCCGCAGCAAATCCTTCGCAACCCTTTCATTTATCGTGTTTAACTGCTTCAGAACTTCGTTTCTGGAGCTCCTCTACAGCGGCCCACCCAACGGCCGTTCATGATCCAGATATTGCCGGGGGGGTTGACGCCCAGGCGTCCGTGTGTGTAGCCCCTGGTAATCTCAAGCGTTTCTCGTGTACAAATTCCTACATAAGGAAATATAAACGGATTTTCAGACTTTGTCTCGTCTGCAGCCAACCAGAAGAGGCCTCTAGGCCCCTCCATGGCCTTCCACCCTCTCTGCGCCTTGGCCTGACGGGGTATCTACGCTGTGCTGCAGCACTCTGTCTCGCGCTGCTCTTCTTGGGATCATTAGGAGCATTCAGAGGCTCAAATATCCAGCTTTAACTCTTTCTCGTCTTTTAAACTGCAGCCAGCTGCCATTCCACGCACTGCCTGCCTCCCCAGACCACGCCCAACGTCGAGTCGCTCCAACGCCCCAGGTGTAGGACCTCTTCTTCATAACTTGATCTGCAAGGCAAGCAACTTGAAACGAAACCATAAGAAATTACTTCTCATAGTGGGAAACCCTATTGAGCAACCTGAAGACGCCGCAGGTACCGTCGGCCGTCCGCAGCACCGGCCCATGGGGAGGGGGGTTCGACTTTTCGGTTTGGATTTTTCTTAGGCTAAAATCTTCCCACGAATTCTTGCATCTTTATTTAAGCTGTTTGCACTTAGCGAGCAAGACCTGGCCTCTCAAAGAAGTTATAAGGCCGGCTGGAGCAGGAGACCAGCCGTAGGGACAAACAACAGCCGCCGGCAGGGTGCAGAAAATCATCGTCACTATCAGCAGCATCATAATCAGCAGTAACAGCGGCATCAATAAGCGCAGAGTGGAAGTAGAGGGAAACGATTGATAAGCAGGCGTGGACGGAGGTTGTCCCTGTGGTCGTGAGGTCACTGAGCATAAGCAAGATGGGCATTCTCTCGTGCCCTAGCGACCCAACAAACGCTGCAGCAGCAGCAGCAGACCTAGCAGCTGAAAATGCTACTGGCGTTTCGACATCAGCAGAAACAGCAAATACGTCTGTCCCCTCGGGTTCGATGGAGCTGGAACATGCGGAGGCCTTCCCACATCATGACGCTTCAGATGAAGACCAACTTGCCCCCCCAACCTGGGGAGCCTGCGACAGCGAGAAGCAACATATGCTGGATGCAAAAAACGACGGAATTCCAGCGTGCGGTGACCAGTCCGCTCCGGGGAACGACGAGCAGCGGTTTACGCAACAAGAGGAAGTTGACACATGCCTCAAGAAGGAAGGTTCTGCTGAGTGCACTACATGCGGAGAGGATTTATCGAAGGTCGGCAATTCCCAGAAAGGGAGAGCAGGAATCTGCGAGGCGTGCAGCGGCAAAATACAGACAAGCAGTGTGCCGAACGAAATGCATGGAGAGGAACCATTTGAGCCGCACTCTCAGGTCGAGGCATCCTCCGTAGCGACCGCCGTCGAAGACACAGGGGCCACCTCCAACCGTCATCAAGGGCAGGCGGAAGTGGCCGACGAGGCAGAAAAATCGCCAGCGGCTTCGCGCAACAGCAGCAGCAGCAACGGTAGCAGCGGATCAAGCACGTCGTCGACGCGTGGGCGGAGTGCATCTGGCGCGGGCAGCACAGCGGGATCTGCAGCAACAGCAGGAGCAACAGCAACAGGAGCGGCATCAGGAGCAGCAACAGCAGCAGCTGCGCCTCGTAAGTGCATTGATGAGGGTTCTGCTCGGCGGCACGTGGTTCCCGTGGGGCCGCGCCACCAGGTTCCTTGCCTACCCCCTTTCTTTCTAGAGAACGGAGGGTTTGGGTGCTGCTGCGGGGAGCCTTCCCCTGCTCTAGACCCAAGTTTAACGGCGAAACTAGTTTATTCTCCCTCTTCTTTAGAGAGGGTGAGACAAAGGAGGCTTGCTGAGGGGCTGGCGGACCGGGCGATTTGCACCGAAGGAGACATGGAAGCATTTATGCAGCAATGCGCGAAGAACTGGAAAGGCAATAAACCCGGCTGGCAGCCTTTCAGCCCCGAGTTTGCCTTCAAGCTGCTGCACTACGCTGGTTACGACCCCGCCAAGGCGTTGCAGCTGATGGAGGATCCGCAGTTCTCTTTCCAGCTCGTCTGCGATGGACCTGTGAGGCGCTACGACAACAAATGGAGGCCAAAAGACAGGAGAGGAGTCATCTCCCCCACACCCTACCCTCCGCCAGTGTTCCTCAGGGGCTATCTGTCACGCAGGCACTACAGAGAGAGCACGGGTTACTCCCTTCGCTAGAGGTAGGGCATTTACACCATACTAACTGCTTGCAACAGCATTTACACCATACTAACTGCTTGCGACACACCAGCCGCTGCCCTAGTAGCTGTAGTAGTAGGTGGTATGGCAGCAGATCTCCCGTGGGAGGAGTAACCTGTCAGCTGCCCTCGCAGTGACTCCTTTCAGCACGATGATTACCACTGTTTGGAAGCCAGTGTGCAGACACGCTAAAGGAACGGCCGTCGGTTGGTATCCGTTCCAACCATACGTGGGGGCGACGGCGACAGACAGCGGGAGACAAGCTCAGGGATGCATATAAAGCAGCACTGGGTGGTAGAGGTGCAAGCAGAGCCGTACTGTGTTATAAGCGTCCCGTAGTGAGATACTTTGATGTATACTGTGTAGCCTTTGAATGTAAAATTCACATTTTGTACATCTGCCCCCATAAGGGTGATGTATAGATGTGCTTTTCGTTGCATCGGCAATGCACGACTTCTGTCCGCAATAGATGCGAAAGTTTTGGGCCATTATGGTAACAGGGACCTCTTGGAAGGCTTTTTCGTCTGTGCGACGCAAACCACCGTCAGCCACGTTGCAGCGGATGAAGCACTGTTTTTGCCAGTGGGGCAGTAGATTGGCAAACTAAAGGCAACACTCACGAGAGAGAGTCATCCAGAAGCAAGCGGTTAGGAAGTTTTTTCACAGAGATCGGTTTTGTGCAGTTAAAAATTCTGGGGGCAGCCACCGGGCCAGAGGGGACTGGCAATAGATGGTAGATGGATAGAGGTAGATAATTGTCTCCTGTTGATTAAGCTCCTCGCTATAGAGCGAACGTCATGCGATATTCACCACCATATTTCGTACAAGCAACTAGACTCCAACCCATCACAACAACGGTACGGTCATTTCATGGTCACGTCAGCCTTAGGCTCTACGTGGAACCTTAGGGTTCAGCGGGACAGAGGCGCCAGTTGGCGCAGCGCAAGCACTGAAGCCGACTTAGTCGGGAAGGTGCAAAAATACCCAAGAAACGGGAGCAAGCCCGAGAATCCAAGAAAGATAGTGGAGAAACAGTGAATCTTCCGCACTGCCCTGTATGTGTAAGCTGTTTGCAAAGCTGTTCGTTCCTGGTGTGCCCCGCAGGAGAGCAGCTAACCATTCAAAAAAAGAGCGGAAGTGGGCACTAAAGTTTCTTCTAATAGATTGTAAAAAAAGTCTCAATAACTTTCTGTGAATACAAAGGCTAGATGGAACAGGCGGATGCAGCGTTCGGGAAGTACGCAGCAGTGGCTTGATTGCTCGAAGGCCAGTTTTTAGTCGGCTGCGAAGTATCTGCAATTTTATCTTCATGTCTTCGCCTGTTTCATCCTTTTCAATGGTTTTTAGACAAAATCTACAGTCTTCACTACCGCTCTTGACCCGTGTCTGGACGCCTTTACCGCCGCTGATTGCTGCCTCGCTAGGTCGAGCCTGTCGACTGGCGGGAACACTCGTATTTGCGAGACCCTGACGTCACCTCCATCTTCGCCATTTCCTTCTAATCATCTGGGAGTTTGTCGCAAGAAAAATAGGGAAGTTTGGCTACTGGCCTCTACTGGGGACGTACCCGCCGTCGCCTGTATCGGGCGCTTCTGCCGTCGCCACGGCTCAGCCGACTTCGTCTTCCCGTGCTGATTGAACGACGGACAACTCCACAGAGCCTACAGCTGGCCGGTGATGAGGCGTTAAAGGGAAGCGATGGCATGCCTTTGGGGCTGTTGCAGTTGCTGTCCGGAAGCCTCTAGACGAGCACGTATTTGAGCTTCCGTTGCAGTGGGCGTGACCCCTGAGGAGCATGGCCCTGGCTTGCCAAGGACTGCGAGGCGAATATTTCTGGTGCTTCGAGTCATTTTCATGCGACCATGCTGAAGAAGATCTCTTCCCTCGCGGCTGGCGGCTACGGCTACCACAGCTCCAGCAGGCCCTTGCAAGTTCGTCGCAGAAGCCTTGACGATGACCAACTTCGAAGACACAGCCAGACCAACCCCAATGATGACTCAGGGACAGATGGTAAGGCGACAATCTGCAGTGTCAATGGCTTGTCGGTCATGCACTTGACTGTAGCTATACACCCTACGGGGATCAACCAAACAACAACAGGCAAGCAGGAGCCTCTTACTTCTGCATTTCGCTGATCCGTTGTGCAGGCTCACAACCAGAAGCAGAAGGCCTCAAGTACGCCTCTGCCACATGGGAACCAAGTACCTCTTGCCACTAACTTGTGTTGTGCGACACTGTAGTTCGTATCCAACGGAATGTTCTGCAGAAGCCTTCATTTACTTTTGGTGTCCCCTGGTTTCGTCTGTAACAGCAGTGTTAGATGTTATCTACTGCCTTCATCATGCAGAAACGCCATGGACATGCTGATCGCTGAGAACAAACACTTGAAAACACTCATTCAGGAGCGCGATGCGCGCGCCAGTTCTTTTGAAAGGTGAGGCATTCTAAATGGCATGCAGGCCACTCTCCTCTATCTTGTGTGGCGAAAACCTTTCAAAAGCCAAGGAATACTGCAACGTTTGTGGTGGTGCATCAGGGAAGACCTGGAAGCATTGAGGAAGGAATGTGCGGAAGCAAATGTAAGGTCCTTCATTGTGAAGCATTATTGCCTGAATGGTTGCTGGTTCCGGGACACTGTCACGCATCAGACGCTCTCCCTCAGTGCACTTCTCAGCATGTAGGGGAACGCAGGTGTTAACTCTATTTACCTCAAAAATTGTGGAAAGGGGGATCACAAACATACAAGCGTAACCTGTGGTGAGCGAACTGCAACTTCAGGATGAGGTAGCCAGACTTCGGCAACAACTGGATGCCAGAGGGGAAATCATTGAATCGATGAAACGAGAAAGGTCAGCTGCAGGAATTATTTTAGAAGGCAAGTGAAGGCTTACCGATGGCAGAAATATTGCTGAAGAGACACTGTGATAACCGTCTGCATCAGTTGGTTTGCTGTCCAGGTTACTGCAAAGCAACGAGGGAGTGCAGGAACTTCACGAAAAAATTAAGTTGCTGGAGGCACAGCTTGAGTTCGAGTGCAAAAACCATGTCGAGGAACTGGAGGAAAAGTGAGTAATAGACCGGAAGAAGATATAGCGTCAGGAAATGGAGGGCATCATCAATGACGTTTTGGCATATGGGCACATTTTTGTCCACTGCCTCGTTTCTTGCCAATAATCAAATGCTGAGTGTTCTCGAAGTATTCCTGCGTCTTCTTGCCTTGCAGGGAGGCTAGGATAGCCGAACTGGAAATGCAGGTTTTGGATGCTCAGCACCAATCTTCTGGAGAGGCACTTTCTCGGCAGGAGCACTTGTAAGCCCTTCTGAACTGACCACAATTTGGTCGTGGACCAACTTAGCCAGCGAGACCAAATCCACTTCACAAGTGCACTGATTCTGTCTGCAGAAATGAAGAGGAAAAGCAGCAGAGGGAGGAACTGAAGAGCCAACTGGCGATGAGGGTGGAAGAGGTGTCGAGGTATGCCCAGCTGCACCCTCAATCCCTTATTTTATTTTTGAAACCTGGAGATTTTACATTTTCTTGGCATTTTCATTTAGTCTAGCGGGCAGCTTCTGGTGAACATGTGCCTTTTGCAACAAAACATCTTCAACATCTGTAAATCGGCAAGAGGGTGCCACCTTGTGCCTTGACTGTGTGATAAAGGAAAGATGCAGAGATAAATAGGCTTCAAGCTGAACTTGAAGCCACCAGGGGTGCTATAGCCAAAGAGAGGACAGAACAACAGACTTCTTCCGAAGATGACGAGCGCGCTAAGGACTTGAGCAGGCGCATGTATGTGCCAAGGACGATAGCCGTTGCTGCTGTGTTCAGCAATATGAATAATGTAGAATACATGGGCACGGAAAATATACAGAACACGGAAGAGAAAGTTGCGGAGGTTGGGAAGGTCTCGCAATGCTGCAGTTTTGTGGGAGCTTGGGCCTTTGCAGAACGATTCTTGAAGCGAAGCTGTGCGCAGAAGAGAGCAAACGAATTGCAGCTGAGGAGTGAGGGATCACCATTTGTCATCCAGTGTGCAACAATTAGCAACGGAAGCAAGTTCGATCACTGCGTAATTAAATCAACACCCTGTGCTCTGCCAATTATGCTTCTCCTGCTCAGAGCCCTTGCTCTCCAAAGAGATACTGCAGGTGAGACTGATGAGGGTAAAACTTCGTTGGAACAGCTGCGAAGAGAAATTAAAGAAAAGGACGCTGCACTTCAGGGGATGAGTCAGCAACTACTGGAGGTTTCTGCGGAGAAGGACGAACTTGAACAGGTGAATAGATGCACGCCGCCAAACTAAAATGCAGCACAGAGAAGACCCGGCTGTTAACCAGCAAAGAGTTTTCCGTATTAGCAGTTTCTTACGCTGTTTTTTCTTCCCTCCTCCATTTTACACTTTCTTTTGGTGCCCAGAACTGTCACATCCATACTTGGGTGCACATTTGAGCTTTATTGCACTCTTAAAAATATTTCTATAACCAGTGGTGAATTAAATCTTTGCCTGCGAGATGTTTAGCAGCTGCAGAAGCTCCGGGAGGCGCCGTCTGCTCCTGAGACGCCAAGGGCACTGACCACCAGACGCAGTTTCTTTGGGCGCAGCAAGTCGACGGCTTTGGAAAGGGATGCTCTCGCTGCTCAAGTGCAACATCTCGAAGAGCAGCTGCAGAAACTGACAGACAAACGGGTGGAACTTGAGAGGACAAGAGTCAAGCTTGAAGGGCAGTTAGCTGAGTCTGTCCAAGATGTTCGCCAGGCTCGAAAAGAAAAAGCAGATCTCGAAATGAGGGTAGGTCATGGCACAACATTCGTTGGAGAAGAACTCTAGATGCTGCGTACACCCCCTGCCTGCGGACATGTGCATGCGGAGCAATGATTTTGTGAAGCACCTTGGCCTGCGGCATCTTTGCATAAATTGCCATGCGGAAATACGAAGGGCTAGTGGCGGGTTCCCTTCATATCATATTATGGTTTCACGTCAATCATATTGGTCCTTGTTTGCAGCTGAGGGAAAGAGAAGCTGCTCTTGAAGCTCTTCGTGCAGCTCATGTAAGTGGAGTTTGCGATCAGATCTACTTGTGCCTCGTAGTTTTTTCTTTGGTTGTGCAAACGATCTTAGATACTCTGGCTGTGCCGCAGGCGGATATAAAAAAACCTCTCGACGTCCCTCAGAATATTACCCTGCCCTTACCACAAGGTAACCCTTCAGGCATTGTGCCCACTATACTCCTGAGGATGTTATCTGTCGATTTCATTGCTGAAAATAAGTGTTTTCAGGCTCGCCCAGAAAGTGCGTACGGGCATGAGTTGTATACAAACGCCATCATTGAGTGCATTTGATTCTTCAGGCCGCCAGGATGCAGGGTTGGAAGCGACGGCGCAGCTAGTGCTCAAGGATGGAGTCATCAAGACACTCAGCAGCCGAATTGCTTTTTTGCAGTTTTCGTTGGAGGAGGTCACAGCAGAGAAGGAGAAGCTCTTGTCGCAACCGGCAACCGTTGCGCTGCAACAAGTAAGCCAGCCCTAGTGTTGGGACGATACTTCGAGCACTGCACTGGGTGGCATGGTTTACTTTTCACTCAACCTGGAAATTCGATGCCTTAGGTCAAGGGATATTTCCATGTGCTTTATTTGCCTGTTATCAGCAACTACAGGAAGCGAAGAAGGAGCTCGTCGAGACCTCAGCGAAGTATCGCGGCGTGGTTACCCAGCGAGCAGAACTGAGAGTAAACTGTTTTTCGACCGCACAAGCACAAACCAAGCCACGAACGAGCACATCAGTCATTCGCTCATTAGTCAAAACTATATATTCAACAGCAAGCACACTTACAGTCCCTTTAATTTAAAGTTGTTGCAACCCAAAATGCAACAGGAGCAACATGCGTGGTGGCTTCCAACACTGCTGTCTCAACAGCGGTGGTCGGCATTCAAATGTTTGAAAGTACAAAAGCTATACTGGTAGTGCATATTCGTCGGATGCCTCTTTTATACTGGATCTACTAGGGCATTTGTGACTGCAGGAAAAGGTTGAGGCATTGACGAAGGAAGCTGAAAAGGCCCGCCGAGAAATAACATCTCTCAAGGCTGCGCTTGATGAATCACAAGCACGGCTGACTACGACAGCTGACAAGTTTAAAGAACAGACCGACAGGTGGACAACTGAACCTTTCACAGCTCCTCTTTCAGCTGCGGTAGAGCTGAAACCATTCCAGCTGAATGGTTGTTGGGTACCGTGCTGCATTCTCTACTTCCGTTTTGTTTTTGTGGATCAGAATCAGCGCTAAACTTTGTGTGAGTGGTTATTTAACCTTTCCCAGGAACACAACAGCATGCATTTGGTTGGTGCTGCTTACGCTAGTTGCATGGTTCCTTGCGTTGTTGCCAATGCCTTCTCTATAGGTACCGCAGTCTGGTCTCATCTTCGCTTTCAAAGATAGAGGATTTGCAAGATGAAGTGTCCAGGGAACGCAACAGGTCCGTGCCTTCCTATCTTCCTTTCTCGTATATTATGGCTTCGCTGCTCTCTGAGCAATTGAATGCACAGCATAGTGCACCTGTTGTTAATCTCCTTGCTGTACTGTCTGCTTGCTCAAGTATGAGTGTATGAGCTGTCGCGGGTGCGTTTGTTACAGCAAAATATTGGTGGGAAAGGTTTACCGGCAGGAGATGCTGGAGCTGAGAAAGGCGGCGGTGCATGTGGGGGGCGTTCCAGGTGATCCCCTGCGGCCTCTGTCTTCTGCTAAAGAGGAGCAACACGAGAGGATGCAGGTGTCAGGGCAGCCCACGCAAGATCCGATACCGCATGCAAAGGCGCCTCCTTCCCATACAGGGGAATCGCAAGAGCAGCGGGTACTGTCTGCCCCGTTAAGAGATACGGATAGACAGGCTCCGGCGGTTTGCTGCCCGTTCAGCGGCGGCATCCCAGTTGCCGTCACTGCGCCAAGGCAACAAGCAGACTTTGCAGTCATTCCTCTGTGCTACCCAGCGAAAGTGGCCGGAACGGCAAGTGGAGAATCGAACATGCACCGTGGGAGCTTAGCCAAAGAGAAAGGCCCGAAAGAACAGCACATACAGGTATCACGAGTTCGGCATGCATACGTAAACAAGCAGCAAGATGACAGCAGCTGCACTGAGGGAGTGCAGAAACCTCAAGCAGCGTTGCCGAACCCTGCGTTCCAGGAGCCATCTGCTGCTTCGCTTACCACGGCTAGCTTGAAGCCTAAAGCCACCAGTCCTGCGCTAAAGCCTGCTAGCATCCCTCAGCCTCCTTCAACCGGGATACACACGCAGCAAGAGACGCCTTTTCATCAGCAGTTCCAGACTAAGAAGGAACTTCTGAAGGCCGCTGGAGATCAGCAACAAGATGATGCAACTGCCGCCTTAGGGCAGTACCGGCCTCCCGAACGTGCCGGTTCTGTGAATGGGCCCACTCGCAATCTGCTGCCGAGGCAGGAGTGCTGTGAGGAGGCAGATATCCCAACTGAGCAGGAGCTGGGGCATCTAGAGGACTACACTTCTGCTTCTGCAGAACGCAGCAGCAGCAGCAAGACCCCACCAACACGCACCCAAATGCTCTCAGGCAGTGACTCCCTAGATGCTGCAACAGACGGTGGGGATGTAGAGGGGACCGCCGCTGCGCCGGCGCCCCTAGACGGCACCACCATCCTTCGTGATTTGCAGCAAATTCAAAGCAAGAAGAAGGTGCTTTTCACTCCAGGCCTGAGCACTCGGGGATCACCTGTTTTGGGAAATCCCTTTGAGGCTGAAGAGGACAGCATTGTAGATTTGTCGTAACCTGGACGGCATACTGCAGTTTGCAGGTGCTTTCAGCGCCGTTTTCTCACTGTGCCACAGTGCGTGGTAAGGGGCAGAGCCGCAGACTACCGAAGCGGCAACAGAGTTAGCAGCTGGGGCTCCACGCATCAAACTGAGTTACTGGAGTTCGCGGCGGGCTCACAAGGGTACCCAACCATTCACTGACCCACTTATGAGTCTGCGAGCCCCCTTTGGTGGTCGGCAAGGCTCTTTTCTCTGCATTGGCTGTTATCAGGCGTCCATATGTTCACAGATATCGCACGCCCTCTTGAGGATCGCCACGTGCTGGCTGATGGATATTTACTAGGCGAGTTAAGCAGTTAGCCCGAGGTTGACACTAAAAGCAGCGACAAGTATTGACTGATCAAAGAAATTAGTCCGTAGTTGGCTTCCCTCCAAATGTCTTTCAGAAGGATGATTGGATAGTCAGTGTACGCCTTTTGACCGTCCAATGCTGCCCTCTTTAAGTACAGGGTGCCAATTTGTAGCATGAAGCTGTAAAAATCTGGAAGAACTAAATAAGCTCCCCCAATAAATGTCATTAAGTATGCCCATATGGCTGCTAAAAAAGGGCAGCAACCGGCCATACGGGTTCCTCTAACGCGAAGACCGTTCCTAGCGCAGGAGAGGCTAATAGAGTCATATTGCAGCGTCTGCATCTCGGGAGGCTACGCGCCAAGCTTGGCAGAGCCGGGATGCAATACATCTATATGGATACAAGGCAGAGAACCGACGATGTGCCCTTTCGGCGCTCATCATACGAGTGTCCCTCTCAACGTTCTTCTTCCTGACCGTTGGATTCTCCTGGTGTTTCGGTCAGAGTTCGTTTATTTCAGTTGAACAAACTTGAGGGCCTCCAGGGCAGTAGCGAGCCTCCGTAGTTCCTCGGCACCACCTCCTCGCTGTGGCTGCGGGGAAGATGTACCTGAAAACCTCCCAGGGCCTGCCTGGTAGGGAGGTGGCTGGCGGAGGGCTGCCATGGCAGCAGGGGCGAAGGCCTCAAGAGCCTTCTTAGAGCCCGCGGGAAGGGGTACGTATCTTCCACACAGACTAAGGATTTGCGCTGCTGCAGCTAGCAACGCTAGCGAGTCGCGGATCTGCGAAGCGTGCCGAACTACAAGGTTGCTGAAAATCGAAAGCAGCTCCTGCAGCACCCCCCGAAACTCCACTGATGTTGTCACCGCAGATATCCTCGGAGCAGCGCCTGCTCCACGGTCTTTCTCCGCTTCGATCTCTGCTGCTCCTGCTGCTGTAAAGCGGCAGTGTGCGTGCAGGAGGGTTGCGAAATCGCTTGCCGCCAAGAGAAGCAGCTGGACTTGTGCTGCAGTTCTCGGCGAGTCTGCCGGAAGGGCTGCAATGCTCTGGGCGTGCCGCAGTAGCGCTGCCGTTACAGCAAAGAGGAATGCAGGTGCACCGTGCAACAGGCGCAAGATGCTGGTGCTGTGTCTGCCGGTTTTGGGGCCAACTACCTGCTCAGTGGTCGGTGCTTCCACCGTCGATGGGTCGCAGGCGCCTCCCGCAGGAGGAGGAGAAACGTCAACAGGATCCCTATTCTCCGTTTCTGAGATCATCAATTCTGACTCATCAGGTATCGCGCGAACCGCAGCAGCCAGGGGTCTCAGCAAGTGGAAGAGCTGTAGCAGTCCACATTCTGCTGCTAAGAGGGGTGCGTGCACTATTCCAGACCTGCGACAGACAGTAACACGCAACAACAGGAAGAGTGGCCCTGCAGCAGTCAGCAGGCACTCCCTGCACCAGCAACACCCTGATATTCTTCAACAGCAGCAATTGCAGCAGCTACAATAGCAGCAAAAGCAAAGGGACTCAGTAGTCTTCACAAGGATGTGGTGTTGAAAGTGCCCTGTCACAACGGTGACCCACAGTATGTGGCTACGAGTTTCGGCCCGGCAGGAGGAGAAGAAGCTGAGCAACAGCCCGATAGACACTCCTGCAGTAGAGACCCAACTCATTGGGAGTCTATCTTGCCGACGCAAAGCAATAGGGGATTTGAACATTGCAGGGGCCCTCAAACAATACCTCTTCAGCTTTTTTAGAACTGTTTGAGGGCGATAGTCCCCCTCAAGGTCCCCTTCACCGCCACTGGTTGCAACCTCTCCACAAGCAACAGCTGCAGCAGGAGAGGCAAAGGGTCTTTGTTGCCTTGCCTTGCCAATATCCAGTGTGAGGTCCTTAGGGGTCGGCAAAGTCCCGGCACGTTGAAGAAAAGAATCATTAGCTGCTCTTATCGCCGCCTCACAGTACAGCGCCAGCTTGTCAGCAAAGCCTCCAGGCCGTCTGATGTTGTGGGCTGCAAGCCGCGCAGCTTGTTGCAGAGTCAACACCTTTACGTGCCTCTCACTGTTATCAAAAGGCGACGGAGTCGATTCCGTTGAAGCACCAGCGGTATCCATGATTTCGGGAACGCCCAGCCCACCTTCGGCGCGATTCAAGGCCCACAGGAACGATCCCACCTCCCGCATCCCGGCCCGACCAATTCCGGCCTGCCTCGGTGAATCCGAAGCACCAGACGTCGCAACAACTGATACATCAGTCCTCGACTGTGGTGTATTCCCAGGGAGAGTTGGTAAGCTGAAGGGCGAGCTACCTCCGTCCTGCGGTGTCTTAACGGCGCCATCAGGAGGACCCCCAGAACCACCCGCACGATACCAACCGTAAACTGACTCCGGGAAAGATATGCTCTCGTCAATTGCAGCGACCACTCGAAGCAACAGCTGGGCTGCCGTTGCCTCAGCTTCGCTGGTGAGCTGCTGCGAGTGCTGCTGCGCTGCACTGGAAGCGCCGATCGAGTGGCCTTGAGGCGAAGCTGTTTCTGCTGACGCTGTTCCTATGCTTGTAGTTGCGTCAAACGAGGCTCGGAAAGTGTCGTTTCCCTTGTTGCGCCGAAGGCGGAGAATGTTGTATGCCAAAAGGAACAAAAGTGGGGATGGCCACATGTTCAAGTCAGCACCCTTCTTCTCAAGCAATTCCGACAGATAAAACTGCGCGAAGAAACAAGAGGAGCAAGCAAGGAAACAAAGCACAAGCAGATGTCAGAATGTATGGCGTGAGAAGAGGTTTGACTGACCCAGCACAGGGTACCTGAAGTAACAATGCCTAGGAAGCAACACCGTGTATGAGGCAAACACAGGGAAACACATACTTCTACAGCAGAAGAGTCCACATAACGGGCTGGGGATACACCGGAAGCCGATGAGAACGTGTGAAACCCTTTCAAGCTACGAGCTAGGGCAGCGAAATTCGCTCCGTCCTGCAGACGTTGGCGGTACTGCTGCTGACTGTTTTCGTGCTCTTGGGTGGTACCAGTATCAGCCGATGGAGCAGCCGCTGCTGCCCCGGCACGGATCGTTTGAACTTGTTGCTGCGTATGTACAGGCGCAGCTCCCTCTGTTGTCTCTTGGATCCAAAATGGTATGAGAGAAAATGTAAGCAGAGCAATGTCCTCGGGGCGTTGCTTTTCGAAGCCGCTAACAGCTGCCCACAGGGTAGCTGTAGCGGCGAGGCTACATAGAGCTTCCTGAAGTTCCGATGTTTCTCCCTCAGACCGAGGTGGAGAGGTCAAGCGAGATGACTTGCCACCTTTGAAGGAGCGCCACTTCGCGTTCAAATTCTTCTGCAGCAGTGCCAGCGTCTTTCCCACAAGTTCAGCGGTGTTCCTTTCGTCAGCATCTTCTTCTGCGGCTGCCTTGCCTTGAGTCCTCTCGAAGTTCCTGCCCCCTCTGCCGCTGGAGGCAGGAGTGCTAGCACCCAGCAAGCGCTGCAGCGTAAGACTTTCAAGGCGGTGACGGAGAAGTTTGAGGCCCATAACTACGAGAGGCCATTCGCCGACCCAACTCCATGCGAATAAAAGACGCTGAAGTAGCTTGACGGATATCTGTTTTGCTGCTGTTACGCGGGAACTGCTGGGCTGCTGTTTCTGCGGAGGCTGGTGAGTGCTTGAAAAATTCGAAGAGTTTATTTGGCCCTCTGAGGGAAGACAGACAGTAACACCTGACAGCAAAGAAGAATCTGTTGCCCCAAGCGTGACGAGAGAGCAGAAGAAACGGATTCTCCTCTCGGCCTCCTTCAGGTCCCGGGGGGGATCGTGAGTGTGCAGAAGAGGCCTCAAAAAGGGTACAACAGTTTCGCCCGACGATCCTGGTGCTCCTGTTACCCCTTTGTCCTGCGACGAAGATATCTGCTGCTCATGCAGGAATCGATCGAACGCCACAGCAGAAGCAGCAAAGTGTCCCATTCCTCTCAGTGGCCTGAGGGAGTGCAACCGCGCAAGCGAAATAGAAAGCTGCTGCACTTCCAAGTAAAGCATTCGCCCCACGGCAGCCCAGGCAGCACTTTGAGTTTCTTCCGCTTCCCGGACGCTTCGCTGCCTCTGCTGCTGTGATATGAAGAGCTCAATTAGACGAGCCCCTTGGGCAGCAGCAGCTTCCGCTAGTTGCTGCACAGCCGGCAGCCAAATACCACCATTTAGACGCATTAATAAATAATATACGGGCAACCAGGAGGCCCTCGCTGTCACCAACTGACGCAGCTCTTCAGCCGCTGTCTGCAGTGCTGGTGACACCCCGACCTGCAGCTTCTGCTGCTCCTGCTTCACTTTCTGCTGGTGCTGTGAGCGGGCCTCTTGTGGGTAGTCTCTTCGCTGGTCCAGGCGGGAAGGGGCCTCGACAATTCCAGCCACGTGCTGATGTGATGCACCAACGGCTTGGAGCCCGCGAGCTGCTGCTGCTGCAGAGGCTTCTATCATGCTGGCAGTTGCCCGCAAGATGTTCCAGGGCAGTGGGGAGGCCCCGGTGCGGTGTAGCGCTAGCGCAAGTGCAGCAGCAGCGCCACACCCAGGGACCCCCGAAGCGGGCGCCTCCAAGAGGTCTTCCTCCTGAATAGGGTACTGTAAACTAGGTGGCGCCCCCAACAACAGCAGCGGCACCAACCTGCCGCCGTTGCTGGGAGATAGTCTTTTGCTCCAGTCAGTCAATGCATTGCACGCAGTTGAGACCCTCTGCACCGTGTCCCCAGGTAGTAGCGTCGGGGCCTCTTCTGCAGCTCGTTGCAGCACCCCGTGCAGCAGAAGCACCAAAGCCTCAGCCACAGCCCGCACTTCTTCCGGTACCTCTGGCAAGACATGGGACCCGAAAGCTATTGACCGACCAAGGGCAAAGAGAGGAGCTATGAGGCGGGTAATTGCCGACTGCGGCAGCCTGCACAAGCAAAATCCAAAGAGAAAGATGCCGTAGGCGCATCGGGCGGCGTGCACTGTCAACACTATATACATGCCTGGCACGCAACTGGCGTCACCTTACACTGCACAGTAAATCCAATCCAAGCAGAATAAGCGAAGTAACGAATGGTTTGTTTAAACACAAATAAAGCCCAAATGAGCGCCTCCTGTAGGGCATTACCTGGGTAGGAGTTGCCGGAGAGAAACGAAGAAGGCAGTGAGGGCCCGCAAAGGCAAAGTCTCCGGCGGATGTGCATTAAAAGCAGGGCTACACAGGAGCAGCCAATCTTGTTGCTGTTTCTGCCTCGCGCTGCTCCCCCCTCCAGCAACTCCTAAGCTGTCTTTGCGCGGCCCTAGTGGTGACTGCTCTGCAGGTGCAAGACTTAAAATCCACCGGGGGGAGACAGCACAGGCTGCCAAAAAGAGAACACCATCAACGGCTGCTGCGAGATTCGGCAAGACCCGCTGTTGCTGCTGTCGCTGCTGCTGGGGAGGCGGCGGAGACATGGAGGCCAACAAGAAGGAAAAGAAAGACTGCACCTCAGCCCTTGAAGGGCACCCCCCAAGACCAGCGGAGTCCTGAGACCTGAGGGATGCCGAATACAGTCGGAAAACTAAAGATGGTGCTTGTCTGTATGATCATTAGGCACAAATACATGCATGGTACGGCTTGTCACGTCCTTGTGCCGGCACCGGTCAATTTATCCAGCACCAAGGATATATGTATATGTATATGTATATGTATATGTATATGTATATGTATATGTATATGTATATGTATATGTATATATATATATGTATATATGTATATATGTACTCGGCGTACACCTCCAGCTCTATTCCTGAGGCTTCATCGTCATAATATATATGTATATGACGATGAAGCCTCAGGAATAGAGCTTGACGTGTACGCCTAGTTTCCAGCCTAGGCAAACACTGGGGACAGGGCGCCCGCTGAAGTTATTGTGCCGATAAAGGGTTTATGGTAGGGTTTGTACTGTGGGAGGTACCCGCTGGAGGTTCTGTCCAATGTGCTCTCCAGCCCGTCGGCTGCAGCAAGTGGAGCTGACAGGCGGCGACGAGAACCTTCTTGAGGGGAGTTGTCAGCCGTATCGACAGCTGCTCCTCCTCCCTCTGCAGCTTGGATGTATCCCCTTCTAGTCATACCACGCTGCATCCGGCGATGGGCTCCCAGTTCGTGGGCCAGCCCGGGGGTGTTGTTGCCTTGCGTACAGACAGTCAGCCATCGGGGTCCCTCGCATCTGGGGTTTGGGAGGACGGCTGAGCTGTACAGGGACCTCTTCAGACAAAATGCTGCTGCAGGGCATGATTCTTTCAATACTTTCAGCAAGAGAAACAGAATAAGCCAAAGACAAACAAGAGGGGCCTTCCTGACTGGGATAAGTCTCCTCAAGAAACTCCCACTAGCAAAAGGAGCACTAGTAGCACTGTTCTTCCGCTGCCTGCAAGAGTGCACATGGCCATCTTTGGGCGTGGGGCCTCCCCCCATCGTCAAGCCAAGGAAGGAGTGGAGGGAGTAGCATTCGATTTGACGCTCCAGGCTGAGGGCAACGGCGCTGGGGGAGATGTGGGAGAAAGAAAGCATGCAATAGATACTAAGCGAGCATGAATCCCCGCAGAGACGTTAAGACCGTTGAAAACCCCACGGAGGTCTGGGAGAACAGAAACAACTCTCGCAGACAGAGAGCCCACAACACCTGAAAAAGCTTACAAGGCGGATTGTCTATACCGTGAAATCCTCACAATTATAACGCCTAACACCCGAGCTAAGGACCTAATGAATGGCTATTAGATTGGCCTGCATCTATGCAAACCGCCAGCCTACTGTGAAATCAAACTAGCAGCGGCCGTCGCTGCTGGTCCGTGTACATTGAGGGGACGGAGAGAGACGTTCTGTGACACCTGGAATGGGTGTAAAATGAAAAAATATATGCAAGAAATGGAATACACGTGTCATGTAGTTGCGAGTGGCTCAGATCAAGCAAGGTGTATTTCAGTGGAGCTGCACAGTCAAGGCTTAGCCTTAGACTGGGGGCCCCGGTGCTGCCGACGGGGGCCCCTCATAAGGTGTGCTGTATTGAAGATGCTGATGGGTTCAAGAAAATCTGCTTTAATAACAACTTCTATGGCTTCAGTAGGTGCAACTCCTTCGTAGCGTTTCGCCTTACAGGGGAAGGGTTTGTGTTTGTGGGGTCGAACTGGGTAATATCCCAAGGGGTCCCCCGTCTTTCCTTCACTCCCTGATTCGCGAGATGCCAGCATACCCTCTTTGTGGAGGTACTTTCTTAGGTGATAATATGCCTCGGATATAAGGCTGCGGAGGCCCATGATTCGGTCGTGCCCCTGGCTGCAGTTTCGGGTACCGTGAACTTGTGCAGAGTATAACTTGCACCAGTGGAGTTGCGCATATCGGTGGATGAGGCATCCATTCTCCCCTACATGCCACTATGGCAACCGTGCTGCTCCTGCTGCACTGGCTAAGCAGTTCAACGGCACATGCAGCCCCGTTTCTGCTGCATCAACACTCGGTGCATGCGCAAGTACGTTCTATGCTCCCTGACGGTATTCATGAAGTTGCACCTGTCGGTGCATCATCTGGAGGGCCTTTGCTCTCTTTTCTTCTCTGCAGCGGCCAAACGATTTCCAACAGACCCAACAGGACCGCTGGACCTCCTTGGCTCTGGGGGGCTCCTACCCTCACACTGCAGAGACTCTCCAGCAACACGCAGTTGTTTGCATGCAGACCGCGGCCTAAGAAGGAGAAGGCACGAAGGAACTATAGAATTGCAAAGCAGCAAAAGCAAATCCGGGAGGAGCGGCTAATCCGCCGCCGCCAGCAGCTGGAGATCTTCAAAGCCCGGCAACGCCTGCTAATGGCTTCTGAGGGGAGAGAGGAGTTTAAGACCAACGAAGACAACAGCCAAACAGGGAACCAAAGCAAAAGCCTCTTCAGCTTAGATGGTCCCCTTTTTGCGGCAGAGCAAACAACGGCAAATAACAACAGCAACGCCGCTCAAGGGATTGACTCCACCGCTGCCGCTCGCATTAACTACCGACTTGTGGGGGGCACCTGGAGAAGAGCGCGTGGGCAGGGGAAGTACGTGAGAATGTCGGGAGCCCAACTCGCAGCTGCTATTTTCGAGGGGCTGCCTGAAGAAGAAGTCACCGCCGCAGTGGCAAGAGCAAAACGACAAGATGAGGGTTTTATGGACTTGGAAGCGTATGACGAATCCGGCACAGAGCACACCACTCTGGAGGGTCTCAACTGAAGCGCCTGCTCTTTTTTCACACAAGCTAAACCTATTCAATATACGTAGAGTGAAATCTGATAAATTGAGCATTCGGCCTGCAACGGAGGGAACGCCAATCTCTTGTTGCACCTTTCAGTAAACCGATTGCGAGAAAACTGCAGCGTGCACAACAATAGGCAGGGTTGGAGATATGCTAAACTTCATCCTTCTCATTCAATACTCCCTTTTAGCTGTTTTAGAGTTCCCATACCCACAGGGCAGTTGCTCACAGTAATATGCGCTTCTTACTGTCCTCCCCCTGCTCCTAGGGGAGGCTGTACGCTGTTTTAAGTATTGCAACCCGCTGCAGCAAATGTCTCATGATGCAACTTTGCATTGCCACCATGCTAATGGTGCTTGGCAGTTTCGGCGTTGCAATCCGAATACCTCTAAACTGTGCCGGGCTGAAGCAGCCTACGCTTTTAATCTTGGCGGACCATACGGCTGCTGACATTGAAAGCACCCCTCAACTTTAGACGAATACAAGGACCTGCAGAGGTGCTTATGGTTACTGTTGACACGATCTGAGTGTACCGCTATTTGAAGGGCGCACGAAGACCCTTTAGAGTTTCAAGTGCAAGCCCTCAGGAAAATATCAAACTCGTCGGGACCTGCGTAGCTACTGCTGAGCATCAGAGAGGGGTGCTTATCTGCTATTCTTGAGCTCGATAAAGCGAAGATGTTCGGTGTTTTTTCTCACGTACATGGAGACAGAGGTCACTTACAGTGTAGGTGTACCGGTGCCGCGCGTAGTTGCACACTTTGGCCAAGACAGGGGAACCAAACTGAGGTCAATTTGGTCTGATCCGCCAATCTCTAGTGAAAGCGCTTCATACATATCAGCGCAGCAGGAGGTCGCCTAATTGTTTCGCAGTAACAGAACGGTCCGTACTAAAACCGAACGGAGGTCCACTAGAGGCGACACCGGCGCTATCTGCTTGAGCCCCGTGAGAGCTGGAGCTGCAGCCACTGCCCGTCCGCAGGTAAAAGCCAGTTTATCCCGCCTTTTGTCCATCGATTGCAGTGGATTGGTGAGGGAAGCTCATATACTTGCAACGGTGGATCCCTTTTGCATGAGTTCATGCCAGGCCGTCTCTTCCGCTCTATTTGTTCCTTGTCCACCCACTTCAAGTACAATCGATGAGCCAAAGCACAGAACATGCCTTCTGTGTAGTTCTCTTGTGGACCAAAGTCTCTCACGCTTCTCCGAATAAGTGCAATGCTAACTTCGTGTGCACTACGAGCAGTAACTTGGTTGCAGCAGAAGCAACTGATGCGAAGTCACGTCCTTGCAGCGTGCCTTCCCTCGATTAGATCAAACGGTTTTGTTTGTGCTGAGGTGGATCTTGAGAAGGAATTGATTTCTAACCACTAGACTAGTCATTTTTGTCGCCGTTTCTCCTTCCGGATGCCCAGCCAATGCGTGCATGCTCTTCGCTCGTTGCGGCTTACGGTGCGGTGTCCTCCATGACGTGTTCGCTCCTCTTATTCGAAAATTAATTGGCTGGGAAATTGAGAAAAACTGTAAGATGCGCAGAAAACGGCATATTGCATTCAACTTTTACATGATAGCTACAGACCACCGCTAGGTGACCCGAAGGTCACCTCCCAGAGTAGCAGTTCCTGCGACGGAATCTTCTGTAAATGACTCTTCAAGGTATGATGAGCCGACCACCTATTTTTGAGTCTTCTTCTGGATCTGTTACGCGGGGGGGAGAGGAAGAGGAACATGAGTTCTTATGTGCTGAACAAACTGCGAAGGTATCTACGCCCCATTCCGAGGGGAACGAACTGTATGGTATGATCTCTCATTTGTCAAATTCATCAAGTCAGAAATACCAGAACAATGGGCATAAGTCAGGCAAGCTTCTCGAGTTCACTAAAATTCCGTTAGGTAGTGGAACTGTGGAATTAGTTGTGACTAATTTGCGTCCAACAAGAAAAAAGTACTTAATACGTGGTTTTCTCACTGCAGTTTCAACAGAAAGAAGAAACGTTCCAGGAAATCTCTTGATATGCTGAGGCATGCAAAGGTCATCATGTGCCTACGACCTACTGTTGCTCTTCAGAACAGATGCATGCTGATCTGTATGATCAAAACGATGACGACATAGACACCTTCACACCCCAAGAAGTCTTGCAAGCTACGCGGCTAATTCGCTTGCTGAAGCAGTCTATCCGCAGCAGCCAATGCCGTCAAGGGTCGCGCCAACTCAGGCGAGTAAACGCTTGCGGCAGTTTGCCCTAAGGATTTCCGTAGCGACTGGAGGATAAGCATCCTGCAGCAGGAGCCATGAATTGTCCACATTAAAGTGCATATCCTTGCAAATACAAGAGGAACATGAGTCACAATTCTAGAGGGCTGTATGATGCCAAATTGTTGGACAATTTATACTGGGTGGTGCACACAGGTTGAATGAGGCCCGAGTAGCTACTCGAACGGCTTCCTTTGGAGCAGTCGGTAGGCTAGAAAATATCGCAATCAACCTTCTATGCTCTACCGGATGCAACTAGAATGCTCCGGGGTGTAGTGATGATTCAACAGGTGTGCCGATTACTCGTGCTTTTCCGCGTGGTTCAACAGGGATAGCTACCCCATCATGCCCTGAAGGTAACAGTGGAAGATCCCCCAAGAGGAGCGACAACTTTGGCTGGCCCCATGGTCCGCAGCTTCCTGCAGCATGGGGACATGGAGAGTTCCAGGCTCTGGTGGCGGGCATGAAGTCGGAACACGAAGCACCTGAAATAGAGCGACAGAAAACCAGCAAGGAAGCTGGTCAAACAGCCCCGTGTCCAAGTGGTCAACCAGCGTTGGACACAACACTAAGCCTAGAAACCAAGCGCTCCTCAGAGGCCTTAGGGAAAATGCCAGGACAAAAATATGCCCCAACTAGCTCCAAGGAAAGCCCGCGTGCAGTTGCTAGCTATCCCTGGACCCATGAAGACACCGGAGAGAAACCGGAGTTTTTGGCGAGTCGGGGCACATTTGCACAAGCCATACCCCAAGGTGGCTATCTCCTCGACACGTTTCTCTCAGGAAGCCATCCAAGCCAGAATGAGTCCCTCCCCGTTGAAGCTAACAACGGAGATGAACCACAAGAAATCCAGGAAGTCGGCATCCAAGTTCAACACCTTGTGGCCACTTCGTTCCAGTAGCTTGTCGCTCCCATGCTCGAAAAAACAGTAACTGTCTTTTGTGTGAGGGAGCGAGTGGGCGACTAGTGCCACATATTAGTCTCATTGGCGTATTGCCCCCAAGCTGACTCAGGTGTCTCTATGTGACTGTTTTTGTGGTTCATTTTAGTGCCCCTATTGCCACCGCACCTTTGCAAGCAAGTCATTCGATAAGCATGTCAAGGTTTGCGTGAAGGTACGTCCGGTGTTTTGGAAAGTGACATGAAGCACCAGGCACAGCATTGCTCATCTGATGCTTCTGGCAGATGCCTGCTTGAACTGAGCTGTCTGACTGCTTAAGAGGCAAACGGTTTCAAGGCTTGAGTTTTACGGTATTTAAAGCCTCTCTGCGTAGGGTGCACGTAACTACAGGCAAGTCGTGAATGGTTGTGCGTGATCTGGGAAGGTCTTCTTCACACGTCGCAAGCAGTACGACATGACCAGGAAGCGACTGGCAAGCGTCGTGGAGGAAGCTGGACTTCCTGTTCACTCAACTGTGCAGAAATTGAGAGGCGAACTCTCATCGAAGCCGTAGGCAAAAATGCTGCAGATAAGCCAGTCTCCTATCTTATATACAGAAGCAAGGCTGCAGATGTTTTAAACCCCCAGTATTGTTGCCAGGTCGAAGGCTATACATACCATCTGCTTCACTTGCACTGGTCTCTTAAGCTGCTTGCTCCTCAGGCTCGAAAAGCGAACGGAGAAGAAATGGCAACGTGAAGTGAGTGGCACTTTCGATGCCCGTGCAAGTCTCGATGTTCTAGTCCACAACGTTCACGCATGCCATTAGCTCCTGTTCTCTTCTTGTCGCTACTTCCCCCAACAGAGTGCGCAGTTCCGAGCGGCCATGAGGATGGCGAGGGCAGCAGATCCGAGGGAGATTGCAGAAGCCCAGGCAAGCTCCAGGCCATAATATGCCAACATCCGTGCAAACGAGAACGCTCTGTTTGGATTAAAGGAAGAAACAATGTGGTGCTTCAATATTTAATAGCTCCGAATCGCCGTTCTCTGTGTCCACCCTCAGGCTATTTTCGCCAAGTGCAGCGACCTGGGTGTTAACAAGCAATGTCAGCACTGTGGACGCACCTTCGGCCGTGACGAGGCCCTTGAGAAACACGAAGGCGTGTGCCAGCGCATGTTCAAGAGCGGTGGAGGAATACTCAGAAAGGGGGGGGGCCTGTGTGCAGCACAAGGAGCTGCATGCCGTTTGGCGCGCAACACAACACTGACGAAACGAGGACAGAACTCGTTGGACTTTACTGGTCCAAAGAGGAATATAAAACCGTCGAGCTGGGGATATCAGCATCGAAGCGTCTCACAAAACAGAAGATCTTCAACAGGGGATATGGCTTCAGCAATAAGCCACAGGAAGAACAGTGGTGCCCCTTTGCAGCATTGCAGTTAGTCATCCTCCTACGCCTATCTCATGCTCATGTTTCCAGCGGCTACTCCCTGCTGTTTGATGTGGGAATACATTGCTGAAAGAATTGCTTCAACCACAGCTAAGGACGATGGCGGCGTCGCACTCAACACTCCTCTTGCTCCCTGCTGAAAGAATTGCTTCAACCACAGCTAAGGACGATGGCGGCGTACAGCTAAGGTACAGCTAAGGACGATGGCGGCGTCGCACTCAACACTCCTCTTGCTCCCTATGCCAGGCATGAACTGTTCGTGTGTCCCTTTTTGCACTGGGGAGCATGCCACCAGCCCCGGTCCTCGTGACCACATATCTTTGCGAATTGCCCCGTGGTGATTTGGCATGTGTTTGAGGAGGGCTTGAGTATCGCAGCTTGACGAGGAGGCAACGGCAACAGCAAGTGTATTTCCCACACTGCGCGATCTCAGAGTCTATATCCACATGCTCCTCTGCCACAACTTTCGTGCACTACTCTGCAAGTGCTTTAGCCTCTATATTCCTGCAAAGATGGTGGCTGTTGTTTACTCGGGAGGGAACGCACAGCAGAACGCCGCACTTTGCACTACGGTGGCCACATCCATTGCGGTTGCTACAGCCCTGTTTTCTGGCCCCCCAAAAAATCACCCGGTACCCCTAGTGCTCCGGCAACTCAATTTTTTGTTTTATACGGGTTCTTACACACAACTGACATTGCTTTAGTGTTTAGCTTCTAGTAGTGCTTGTTCCAGTGCCAATTCAATTAGCTGCATATATTAGCAGCAACTATTCCCAGCAGACATATCGCCTTTATCTCCACCGCACAATGCATAACTTCGGTGGATGATGCTTCACACACGGGCTTCTATGGGCCATTAAGCGTACCAGCGATCTGAACGGCTATGCCGCCTATTTTGCGGCTAGTGAACATTCACACATCTTCCCAACTCCCAATGCATTTTTGTGAAGTTAAACCTGTTTCCTTTCCAGGCCATTTGGAACGTGTACACTCGTGAGTCTGCAACCGTCCAACCACGCAGCAGTATCCTCTTCTGGAGAACCTAGCATGCAGTTGGCATCTACGGAACCTTCGGATGCAACCCGTCATTATTGCAAAACCGTGCGCCCCCCTTTATTTATTTAAATTAATGAACATTGACAACATGTTCTAAAGTAGAATGGTAGTCGGTTGAGACCTTCTATGGGTACTCCTCGGGGCCCTCATGAACAGACTGAACCGGTCGCCCCCGCAGTGGCTGTTGTTGACGTGTAAGCATCGCTATTTACTACCAAACATGATCGCCTTTTTAAGGTTCTTGGGTCCAACGCTTCGCTTACAGAATAATTTCCGCTCTGTTTCGGCCTTCGGATTGCAGGCGGTAAGCCGCTCACCAAGGGTCAGCAGCCCACTTCGCCGCAGACAGCGACAGATTTTCATGGCGTTTGGACTTAAGAACGTAGGAAGAAGTAATACTAACTTTATTATTTGGATTCGTTCTGGCACAGGGGCGACATCTTTGCGCAAATTTCACACAACACCAACGCCTGCACGCGAGCCGAGGTAAGGGTTGTGTGGTGCCACACCTATGTTCACCCTCTGCTTTCTGGAGTCTTCTAGTGAATGCCACGTATAGTAAGGTCGTTCAGGTCATATATAAGAGTGTATATATGAGTGTTTGCACTCATTTGAAGTGCTCGGTGGAGCTCTGTGTGAAAGTCAGCTGGCAACATATTCGGGGGGTCTTGTGGGGGCAACTGCTTTCGGCTGTTCTCCAGTATTGCACAGCGTTGTGCTCTTCCATGTGTGCTCTCCCCTCAGTGAGTCTTCACAGGATGGCGCCCAAATCAACTCTCTCTTACCCAACTGCACGTCGGGGGCCGGAGGTGGAGGATCACTTCGGCACGCTTGTCCCAGACCCGTATCGGTATGTTCAACAGTTGTTGTTTGTGCCCCTAAAGCTTCGCACCATAAGTGGCTTCTTCACTTATGCGTCGCCTGATGCTGACTCGGACACATACACCAGTTACAGGCAGCATAGTGCAATTGCCACGTTTGCAGATGGCTTGAAGACCCGGAAAGCGAGGAAACAAAGGCCTTCGTAGCTGCTCAGAATGAGGCGTCGGAGGAGTACTTGGACACACAGGTCCGAAGTGAAATCCTGAAGGCTCTCACGAAGTTTCAGGATTACCCCAAGTCCGTATGATGCCTTTCAGCTCGTCGCAGCTTCTCGCAACATGAACTACAGTTGCCGGCGACAGAGTGCCGTATGCTTGTACGCCACGCATGGAGCCTAAATTCATATTTCCGTTTCCTTCGCTGCAGGTTTGGCGTCCCATTCAAGGAGGGTAACTTCTGGTACTCCTGGAGGAACTCAGGCCTTCAGAATCAATCACTGCTCCACCGCCATACTGACAAAAAGGGGGAGACAACCGAAGTGTTCCTCGACCCCAACCTCTGGACCGAAGATGGCACTGCAACTGTGGGTGCGTTTTCTGTGGGCAGGTAGCACCAGTAGTTATGCACGCAGCACGTTAGCGCATCATATTCGGCAGTGGACGACCTCTTTTTGCATAGCTGTGGCTATTCCCTTCGGTAATATCTCTCTGCGGTATATCCTTACTAGGATCGCTCAAGTTTACGGAAGACGGCTCTTTAATGGCCTACGCTCGCGGGGATAAGGGGAGTGACTGGCGCACAATTTATTTTAAAGACGTCGCCAGCGGACGCCTTCTGGAAGATCGCCTCGAGCATGCCAAGTGAACCTCGCGCAATTAAACCTTAAATCTCTTACATCCTTTGTTCCGGAGGTGCAGCACTTTTGGGCACCCGGCAGGCTTATAGCACGCCATTGATGGCGTGCTGCATCTGAAGGTTCCAGGAATGACACATGTTCTATAGGTTATTGCTGTCTTGTTGAACGGGTGCAGGTTCACGAGTTTGCAGTGGATTGGATCTAAATATTTGCTTTACAATCGGTACGACGTTCCGGATGGCGCACAAGCAAATGGCTTGGAGAACACGCAGAATGAATTTCAAAAGGTAGGGACATATACGCATATCGATGCAGAGTTGCTTGTTGGCAGTTAATGACCCCTGTGGATACAGAGTGAATAGCCATTCAGTCTTGCATGTAGGAGCCATGGACGGCTTCCACTAGCGATTCTCTGTCTTGATTTTCAGTTGTATTGTCATGAAGTGGGCACTCCCCAGGAGCAGGACGTCCTGGTGCTCGAGTTCCCTAGTGAGCCGACTTGGATGGTTTCCGTAGATGTGACAGATGATGAGAAGTTTATCGTTGCTAGCATTTCACGAAGCTGCGAGCCAGTAAGCATTCAACTGCAGAAAATGTTAGACGCAGACGCCTCTGTAATACCCCAATAATCAGTGTATGCGCATGCACCAATAAGAATATGCCGCACATGGAAGGGTTACGGAAGCATCAGTGGTTCAGGACGACCGGCGCCAGGCGTACTTCTTGACCGCTTCCAATGAACCGTGAGGTGCTTGTGCTGTTCGAGACGCGCAGACTAACAAATTGTGGATTGCTGCGCTTCCTGACGGCACCGTGCCCTCAACGGCTTTTTCGAAGTTGCAGTGGGTGAAAGTTGCCGACGACTTCGAGGCTGGCTTCGATTATGTGGCCAACGATGGCACCATTTTCCTCCTGAAAACAAACCGCGACGCCCCCAAGAACAAGATAGTTAAAGTCGATGTAGCGAAGCCAGGTGCTGAAGCCGGGGGGCTTGACTTGAGGAGGGAGAGGATGCCCTGTATATGTGCTGCTTGGCCAGTGGTGATATGCTGACGTGCAGTTGCCATCATTCTGAGCCGGATGGCTTTCCCGGCAGACGTAGATGGGCGTTGTCCGCATTGTGTCGCTACTATTCTTAGCCGGACCAAGTTTGTTGGAAGTGCGCTATGTGCTCGAAGAACGCTGTTTGAACTGTGTGCTTGTACGCTTTGCATTTTGAATGGCAATTGTCTGCAGACGCTCCAATGGTTGACGTTGTTCCGGAGGCAGGTGCGGTGCTGGAAGATGTGATGGTAGTAGCGGGTGATAAAATGGTGCTTCACTACAACGAGGACGTAAAGTCGAAGCTTTATGTCCATCGTTTAGATGGCAGCCGCATAAAGGCGCTGGAAGTACCCGTGGGCTCCGTGGCAGAAATGTCAGGGAAGAGGAAGTGTGACCACTTCCTCTTCAGCATCACCAGCTTTGACACGCCGAAAGTGATATACGACGTCGATGTCAGTGGGGGCACGTATGACGTAACCGTCATTCGACGCACGAATGTAAGCCTTTGTGCACATACTTTTGCCACGCCGAGTCTTCCCTTGCTGTTTCGGTGCTGTTAAACATGCAAAATTCGAAAGCAGCAGTAACTGGTGCAGCGGCAAGCGCCTGCGGCAACATAGCTATTTGTGCCTGCTGCCGAGCGGATGCCGCGTTGCCACTTTGGTGGTTAAACAGTGATAAACCTGCACTTATGGGGTCCACGAACCCGTGCGCAGTTGACCACCACGTGCAGTCCAACGGTGCATGAGCTCGGGGACCCCATTGCAAACCAGTGGGCAAGATGTGGCGTCGCGGTTGCCTATCGTGTTTTGGGTCGCAGATAAATGAGCTGCCGCTGGAAAACCTGGAAGTCACGCAGGAGTTCTACACGGGCAAAGACGGGACGAAAATCCCCATGTTTCTCATGCGACAGAAGGGACTGCAGCAGCGCCCTCAGCCAATGCTGCTCTACGGCTACGGCGGGTGAGCCTTCTTCAGCATCTGAAGTCTAACGCTACTTTTGTGGCGTCACTGTGTGTTGTATCGATATCTCTTACATGGGATAATCGGTTCAGGGGTCAACGCGATGCCTGCGTTTAGTGCTGGAGCGTCGCCAGGTCTCAACTGACATCTGTCTATGTTTGGGTTTGCTCGCTGAGTCATTGTCTTGTGTTCATTTTTGCATTGTCTGGATTTCACTCGTGAATGGGATTCGCAGTTGAAATTGTGGCTGTAGGTTCAACATTTCCTTGACCCCTTACTTCTCTCTCGCATTTGCCCTCTCCGCGCTCTACTTGGGGCTGGGTTTGGCCGTTCCGAATATAAGGGGAGGAGGCGAATATGGCGTTGGTTGGTATAAAGCAGCAATCAAAGAGAATAAACAAGTACGTGGAACGAGCCCACCCTCCCACAAGCATGTGCATGAGTATGTAAATGCTTCTCAACACAGCAATTCTCCTTGCTGTGTATTCGTTTTGCTAGCCGTGGAGTACATACGTATACAAATGCACGTTTTTTCCAAGGCTATGAGTACTTATATGTGTGTACGTTTTCATATGTTGGGGTTGGGGTGGTGAGCACTTCGCTGTCCCATCATTGAGTGTGTGACGGTGCAGGTCAGCTACGATGATTTCCAAAGTGCAGCAGAGTATTTGTTTACCAAGGGCTACTCCACTCCAGACCAGTGCGCCTTCCCCAGTGACATTTATGACATAAGCTGCTCGATATCCATTTTAACTAGAAAGGAAGATCAGAATATGCCATGTAGATAAACATTATTTGTTGCGGCATGTGTATTGCGAACGTACCTTGCACTCAACAAAAGTTGCCACTGAGAAGCCTTTAGAGTGTTTCGGTGCTCAGGCTAGCCATCATGGGAGGTTCTAATGGTGGGCTGCTCGTGGGTGCCTGCGCAAACCAGCGCCCTGACCTGTTTAGAGCAGTAGTTGCCAAGGTCGGTGTCATGGATCTTCTACGCTTCAACAAATTCACCATTGGCCATGCGTGGTAAGCCTTCGGTCGGGACTTCGATATAAGTGACTTGTAAGGTAAACTACGTAGAGTGCAGCCACGGATTACAAGCTGAAGAGTGCAATTAGAAGTCTCTGGGTTGTCAGTCTTATTTTTGACGGCAGAACGTAGCTCGTCGTAAGCTGTATTTCCACCGGATGCTTTCGAACTTCGCAGCACCTTGGGAGTGTAGGGACGTGATTGGGCTGCGTGCAGGGTAAGTGACTACGGCAACCCTGACAAGGAGGAGGATTTCAAGTACATTTATAAGTACGTTTGCGATCCAGTTAATGCTTACATACACGCAGACTGTGCGTGCATGAGAACCCTTGTTTCGCTCGATCCTAGACCAGCTCAAGGCACTTGCGTGTGGTGGTGCCTGCTGTTGAATAAGATGTCGCGTAAAATTCACATGCGGAGAGGCCGTTGTGAGTGCATGTATTGTGCGTTTGTTATTTTGCGTTCTGCAAAGGATCTCCCCAATTCACAACATCAACCCTGAGGTTGTGAGGAGCGACAAACAGCCAGCTGTTTTGGTGATGACAGCTGACCATGACGACCGGGTTTCTCCCTTCCATTCATTGAAGTATATTGCCCAGCTGCAGGTGCGTGTACTTGCAAGCTTTTGTGTAAACCAGTGCTGGCAGGCGTTCTCTCTGTGACTTAGTGGATGGCTGGTGCTTGCGGCTGCAGTCGATCTGGCAAAAGCTCTCTGTACTTTAATGTCTGATTCCTTGCTGCAGCATGCCGCTGGGTACTCCTCTCCTGTGTCCACTCCTTTGATTGCACACATTGATACAAAAGCAGGTCATGGGGGAGGCAAGCCTCTGATGAAGGTGGGTGGATGCAGTAGCGCACTAACGCTACGCTGCTTTTGGTTCAGTTCAGAATCGTTGCGTCGCATATCCTTTGTACTAGCATCGAGCAAACCCTCTTAACTCTGGTGTGCAGGTCCTAGACGAGCAAGCTCTAACGTACGGATTCATTGCTTCCGTGTTGGGGCTGAAGTGGAGCGGGCCGGAGATCAAAAAGAACGAATAGGCGTATCGTTTGAACGTGTACGTGTTTTGTTGTTACATTGCAAGCGGCAGCTGCGCCTCTCACGAAGGCTGTCGTTCACTACGCTGTCCTGGCTCCATTACACTCTTGCAGTGTAACATAGTCATCTTTGGGTAGCAGCTAATCCAAGAGGCGTAGAACTGACGCAGCAGCGTGGGCTGTTGCAACAGCCTGGGCTGTTCAAGCGCGGTACTTCTGTGCAGTTGTCCATACATTGACTCTAGTCTATAGTATATATATACACACTATAAACATATGTCATTCGAAGGTGGGAACACCAGTTTTGCACAGGTGAACATTTCAAGGGCCCCAGTTTGTAGTTTGACTGCGCATGGTTGCACACAGGCGTGTTAGGCATTGTTTTGCACCGTTGGAAGTTTATATGACATGTTTCAGTGGTTTTAAGCGTAACGTGCCTTGTTAGAAAACATCACGGCGCGAAACTTGAAAACGAGCGCAGCCGTAAACTTTCGGGCTGGTGCTGCACGACTGACCTTCAAGTGATGCGCCTGCAAACAACTGCATGAAGCCAAATCCGAACGAGCGCATCATCTGTGAGACGAGTCAGTTCCGAATGGTTCCAATGCAGCACCCAGTGGCACAAACACGCAAAAGAAAGCCAAGCAGTATGGCAGGCAGGTTGGAGCTTTTGAAGAGGAGCCCCGGGGAACATGCACAACCGTGAGGCTTTGTAAGCATTTGCCTGTAACGTGGGACACCACAAATAGGTGTATGTCCTTTCTGAGTCCATGAAACACCGGAGGGGCCGAAGGTGATGACGGTGGGAAGGACGCCGCATGTGGAGGTATATGCGCTCCCCCACAGCAGGCCTCTTCGCAGCGCAGTATTCGGTGTTCTGCCTATCACAATGAAGAAGAGCAGATGCATGGAGGGTGTCCCGCGAGTGCACAACAGATCCTGGGCCGTTCAGTTACTGTCAACGGATCCTGCAGCAGGCATTGCAGCCGACGTAGCCTGCACTGCTGCCTGCAAGTACTTATCAATAAACTTCACGATTTCAGCTGCCATGAATGCGTCGTACGCTGGTCCCTGTGCTCACAATATCGCAAATCAAATCGAGGCATCTTGGTAGTCTAGGTAGTCTAGCACCAAGGGGTTCACAGTCACTACTGCTGTATACCCGGGCGTATTGGCTGTTCATTAATTCAGGTTATTAACTATGAACTATATAAATACACGAGAGTGGTCAAAGCATGATTGGCAAAGCTGTCTAACGTAACCCTTCGTGTTGTAAGAAGCATTAGGGTGGAGGAAGTCAGACACACCTCCATCTCGAAATGCCCAACCTTTGGAATAATACGTTTTTCCTTTGGATCTTCTGCACTGCAGAACGCAGACGGCAAGCTCAAGCTCGTGTGTATCGACACCGTTTCACAGTCGCTGGCCACGAACCAGCTAGCCTGTTGATGACAACTTAAATAAAGGTCGAAGAGCAATGCTACTAAGCCATCCACAACTGTACGCGAATGATCGATGCGAAAAGACATCAGGCGCTCTACATCTCACTTGTGGAGGCTTCAGGCAGCATGCTCGGGAAGGAGCAGTAATTATAACCACAACTGTCTCAATAATCCACTGCTACTGCCAAAATGCAAGCATTACAATTGACAATCAGGAAATTAAACCAGTCTTAGTCTTACCTATTGAAGTAGCTGGTAAACGTCGCCGTCGATGTAAACCCATCCTCATCCCCATGAATAAATAATTTCGGCTTCGATGACTGCAATATCTTTTTATAATGGCCCCTGCATCAGGCAACAGCACTGTGGCCAGCAAGTGGCGCCTAAGGTGTTTTACAGCAAGTCATGGCGCCATTGAGCTCTCGTAATGCAAGGCAATATTCGCAATGTAGCTGTTTCTGACCTAAACAAGAGTGAAGCGGCAAAGCCGAACACATAGCCGATACCAACATAACCGCGGATTTCTGGAAGCTGCTCGACCGCGCTCCCTGCAGCATTTGCACAGCAGCAACAGACAACCGAATACGGAAAAAGCCGACTACACAAACTAGCCATGTGGCTCACAGTTGGAATTACGCCTGTCAAAAGCTTTCTAGTCATTGGCTGATTGAGGCCCTCACCACCAATCGGGGCCCCAGCCGAAGATCCAACAATAACGATGTTCTTAGCTTCGAAGTTCCTCACACACCAGGAACAAACGACGACAACGTCCTCCGTCTCCCTGTGTCCCGTCAGCGTCTTCCTGCAGCATTAGCTCACCAAAAGCATCTCCAAATGCCTCCTGCGCTTCTCCTCTGCAGTTCATATATAAATAAATTTGTACGTTGATGTATACATGTATACATACGGATACTCTCTACATACGTGGGTTTGCATCTGCATTTTTGGTATTTAGCTATAAGGATTACATCTACCCTCTTTATATTCGCATAATATGTATTCGTCGTATGCCTGACCATCCGGTGGAGCGGTTTACGCCACGCATGTCAAACGTGACTGCCGGGATGCCTCGTTGTGCTAAGAGGGTCGCCATGCCGAACATTAGAGAACTTGAAAGCAAATAAGCGCAAACATGGATAAAGAGCAGGGAACCACATATTTCGCCAAAAATCCAACATTACTGCGAAAAAATAGGAAAAATGGCGCAAAATAGTGTTCCGCTTGTAACAGACGTCCTGAGATGTTGCGGCACATCTACAAGGCCACGCCACCACTATACGATGGATGGGAATAGTTTTTGACAGAAAGTTCCTGAGTACACAGAGCCATACAGAGGAGTGACAGTCGCACCTCGAGCCTCCCATAATCGAATACTGGTGGACAAATACAACCATGGGGTTGTGGCCGGCGACGTGGTTCAGGGCATTAGGACTCCGCTGTGAATCGGAAGAAGAAGATGATTCCTCTCGAGTAAATTTCTGGGGAGGTGAGTCCTGTGAAGGATTTGAACTTAGCATTGAAGCCCTCAGAACAGCAGGCCACCAAACATCCCCGTGTAGCGTCCCCCCATCTGGGCGGCTGATGCAGATACTTTCTCTTGAAAAACGAGAAGAGAAACGCCTCTCTGCTTTTGCTGCACCACAGACACTTCAAAAGGATGATCTGGAATCTGAAATGTCAATTTTAAGCAACATCGGTTGATTCCGGCTTGCAGCTCAGCTCAGCTCATACGGATATGACACCCATATTCACTGTGTTTTCCCCCAAGCGCCCTAACGGAGACGCCTGCGTGGAAGGCAGAAATAGGAATGATTACTAGCAAAACTGTTTTCCTCAATGAGATGGCTTTGTTGTTATTCCCAGTATGAAAACTGTGTCGGTCTGCACAGCCATACACACTTCCGTTCTGCTTTTATTTTTGCACATTGGCAGTGAATAGCGCTGCCAGTTTTGACCCACCCATCTTCAGTTGATTATCAAACAACTGTAAACTGGGTTAAACGATTCAGCTGCAGCGCAGAGCCAAGTGCAGCGTTCAGCATGTTGATTTGAATGCTGCGTGGCAGACTCGACGAAAGGAGAAGCAACACTGCAGGGTTCGCAAGCTCTGTCGATATTTCGGACTGCATTTAATAAATTAAATGTTAAAAAGGAGAGAAAAACGGATGGAACCACTCGTCGCCGGAGAACTTCGCCGACATGCTAAATCCCAGAAGAAACTGCGCCCGTTCCAATGGCCCCCACTGCCGACAAACGAGTGTTACGGGGGAGCCGTTAAGCGTGCAGCATCGTCTAGTTAATCTCCTCATTCCTCCCGAATAAAGTTGCAAAACTGTGATTATGAGTGCATTAACACCGAGCAATAGATGCCTCTGACACCCAGATAGAAGACATGCCTGGAGAACCCCTGCGGCACTTCAGAAGGTACTGATGCGCTGCTCTACTGGTTTCATGTCGTTGGTAGTCCGTACTACCTTCAAAAGTAGCTTATATAACCGGCGGGGTAGCAAGAAATTTTGATTACAAGGCGCACACACACACAACCGGACTATTACAAAATTCACAATTTTGAGTACCTCGTTCCCTCTGTTCCAATCAAACGTGCACCTTTGCTCTTGTTCTGGCTACTTGAAGTCTCCTATGCGAATGAATATATATGCATTCTACGCACTATATCTACAACGTAGGCTGTATTCAAGCATATGCATCAAACTACTGTCAAGGCTTGCAATTACTCATGCATCGTCTATTTCCTAATTTTGCGAAATTTATTTTTCGTTTAATCGCTCTCCAGCATTACAATTGCTCCACGACAAACTAAATGACCATTTACATTCCGGTTACCCACGAATGCTCCCTTTCCAGCTAGACGACACCAGTCACGGCCGTTGCGAAATTTAAACGCTGGGGCTGGGACGCTGAAGAGTTGCGCACGGATTCTTTTTTTTTTTTCCGTGTAGTGTAACGTTTATGCGATGTGTATGGGCTTGTCGAAGCAACCCATGCAAGCCTCTTTCAGAGCTTCTGAAAGAGTTGGGTGGGCATGACACACTCGGCCAAGGTCTTCGCTGGCCGCCCCGTACTCCATGGCCAACACAGCCTCGGCAATCAATTCCCCTGAACAGGAAAAATAAAATATACGAGCCAAGGATTGTCGAGGTGATGCCGCATGTAGTAATTAATCATAGCAATTATGATCATTCTGCAGTACTGTCAGGCAGCAAAAAATGTAATGGTAAACATGCCAACACAGTGCTGAATTCAGATAGAGCGGCAACAGCAAATGAGTGAAAGAGCACGAATTAGTGCACCTGCATTTGGGCCTAGGATCCACACGCCCAGGATCTTATCCGTTTCCTTGCATGTCAACACTTTCACCAAACCTGCACAGCACAGGGCAAAACGGAGGAGAGAAAGCGATAATGTATTGCAGCAGCATGTCCTGGATGCAGCCAGCAATGCATCCTTCTGCGCATTGATTTTAGGCGTGCACTGGCGAAATTCACAAAAAGTCAATATACAAGAAAGAAAACGCCGGATGCACCAAGACAACGAACACGCCATATCTCTATTTATGCATGTACGCAAATATCTAGCTAGTATTTCTGTACGCAGCACAGATTTTGCATCCTTTCCAAGGTTGGAAGCCGGCTTAAAACTCTAAACATTGAACTCCTGCAGTGCACTGCCGCAGCTTCCCCTCCCACTGGAGGAAGCAACTTGGAGTAAAACAGCACCCAACTGCAAGCCGCTAGCACAAACCCCACATACAAACCCACAGTGCATGGCATACATACAGACACAAAGTATAAACACCAATTACACGAAATGACTCACCATCAGAGTCGCCCGTTGCACGTGCTCTGCTATTCGCTGCGAAAGGGAAGGCCCCCCTCTTGTATGAGACGCCTTCTGCTTTGAGCTGCAACGCAGGGGGGGCCGCAGCGAGAAGGAAGTCACAGGACGTCCAGATAATCTCAGTCTAGGATGTTCTCTGTTCAAACTGGCGGTGTTGCGTCAGGGTTTTAGGCTGGCAGTTTCAGTATGTCCTTCACCTGTTCTTCTGTCTTTCCAACTCCTGCTAGCTCTGGGTGCGTGTAGATGACGGATGGGATTGTGTCGTGGCGCACAGTGCCGTCCCCCTTTCCCGCAAGTCGTTCTACGCATGCAATGCCTTCTTCTTCTGCTTTGTGTGCCAACATTGGCTGCAATGCAAACAACCAAAGTCAACAATGCCACAATCATTGGAAACCAAATGTCCTTCCAGTAGCTCATTTCCTTGGTTTGAAACGGAAAGGGCATTCTCCTTATGTTGAGCTGTCTGCTGAGACCTACGCCTTCAATGAGGTCTCCGATGGCCATGATGTGCGCATACTTTAACACTTGCATTTTGTCGTTCACGACGATACGTCCCCTCTGCATTTCCAGCATTACTATCACAATGCACGGTGCAAATGTTGACACGCCAGCAATACATTGAACGTGTTGCGCGTACACAGCCGAACGCATAGAAGATAGCATACGTCTCACAAATTACATTTCAAGAAAATCAGCACCTTTGCAGTGCAGCCTCGCTGCAGTTACGAAATGTCCTTGGTGCATGCGCTGCTTGCAAACGAAGGGAGTTCCTTAAGTACTGGCGTCAGCACGCTGCATACGCAGGTTTGCATGTTACCAGAGTGTAAAATGCTAACACGCTACTCTTTTCTGTTTACATTCAGCATGTCCTACTTTATCGAGATCGATTCCCATCTCCTCCAAACCCAAGTCTCTGGTGTACGGTCTGCGCCCCACGGCCACGAGGACGACGTCACAGTTTAGCTGAATGCAGCAGCAAGTAGGAATGGTAGTACGACGAAGTACAACGGAAAAGCAAAACAACAGAGTGAGCAGTGCATATAACCACATAACCACAGGCACACAGGCGACCTGAATTTCTTTTTCGTACGCTAAAGAAACAACTCATTTTGTCTGGACCGGCGGCAAAAGAAGAGAGACGCATCCTACCAATACCAGTGGCGATCCCACCCGGGAAGACAACGCGAGGCGGGCACAAACGAAGAAGTGCAGAAAATAACATACAGCAGGAGAAATGCAGCTGCACAAACCCGAAAGAAGAAAATTATTTGCATATATACACCCCGAGGTGAGCTCACCTTTGATGCAGCTCCACTTTTCACGTTTTCTGCAGAACGCACAGCATTCAACAAACCAAAAAGCACGAATAAGCGGAATCACATCACAAGCCAGGCTGTTTCGCTGTTTGTTTGTTTGTGACAGAAAAATGGTCCGGAATGTGGGGAATAACAGGGGAAAACGATATTCAAACATTTCAAGGAAGACGCTCACCTAGTTCCAGTGTGACTTCGCCATGCTCGCCCGACTTTTGCGATCCAACTACTTTTGTACTGAACATGAACTTTATGCCCTGCTTCTCCAGCAGTTTCTGGAAGGCCCTTCCTATTTCCACATCCTGAGAGGCGTCTCACTTCACAACCGCTCCCTAAATGCACTTCCCCAGCTACAAATCGCGCCAAAGCTTTCTCCTTTCTTGCTCGCTCTCCCTCGTGTGTGTGTGTGTGTGTGTGTGTGTGTATGTGTTTCACGTTTAGCACTGGCCATATCACGGCAACTGTCTCGTTTTATCAAATGGTAACATAGCTGCAAAGTATGTATCCATCCGCTTTACCAGGGCGGGGATGATCTTATCGCAGAACTCCACTACAGTTACTTCTGCTCCCAAGTTACGCCAGACGCTGCCAAGTTCAAGGCCAATGACTCCCCCGCCGACAACTGCTAAGTGCCTAGGCACGCTTGAGAGCGCCAGTGCCCCCGTAGAGCTGACAATCTGCTGTTCATCTACCTGACATAGACAAAAGAAAACAAGGCGCTGAAATCACGACGTTCGAGAAGAGAGGTGCTTGGTGCTGAGTCTGCTGCATGTGACTGCCTGTACACCGCAGGTGACAGAATCCCCAAGTGCAAATAGCACATAATAAGCAGCAGATTAACACCAGCTGCTACTTGTGGGAGAAAGGGACATGCACTGGCTGCTCCTTCTAGTCTTGAAATTGAACAGAAGCATGAAGAACTCAAAACACACCTCAAGAGCACCTCCCACTAGAGGAGCAGCTTCAGAACCCGTCGCAAGTATTATATTTTTTGTCTTCAACTTCTCGGTGCTGCCACCACCAATCGGCTGCACCTCTACTGTGTGTGGATCCGCCAGTCTTCCAGCTCCCTGTAGAAATCCAAGGCCGAAGAAATATAATTTGTGGGAGAGAGAAATAAACGGACCGGCCAGCACACTACACAGGCAGCCATCTAGACACCCCATTGTAGCATTTGCTAACTCCCGCAGTTCAGGGTAGGAGTATGTTGCAAGCCTGGCATGTAAATGCCTGCACACGTGCATTCATACATGCAAGCATGCATTAACAGGGTATTTACCTTGATGTATTCCACTTTGTTTCGCTTGAAAAGACCTTCGATGCCCTGCGTGAGCCCCCCGACGATTTTGTCTTTGTAACTCTGCATCGCGGGGATGTCAACAGAGACGCCGTCGACTCGAATGCCGAACTTTCGGAAATCAGAAGATGCTTCCTGCAGCAAATCCGAGGCATGCACAACGCAGTGGACCCAAAATCGCTGCACCATCATCTCCAGAAGAAGTCTTCAAGCTACGGCTCCTCTGGACAACAGCAGCATTAGATGTTGCTGCCGCAGCTAGCTCACTCCCTCAGGCTGGGGAGAGAGGGACAGACAGGCTCGGCTAATAAGCATTTTTGCGTGTCTTACCTTGTACTTATGACTCATGTTCAGCAAGGCCTTTGACGGAATGCAGCCTACATTTAAGCAAGTGCCCCCGAGGGCCCCCCGCTTCTCCACACAAGCCGTCCTCAGGCCCAACTGTGCCGCTTTTATAGCCGCTACGTAGCCGCCGGGTCCTCCCCCAACCACCACCAAGTCATATTCAGAGCTGCTGGAGAAAAGGCGCCTCTGAACGAGTCCAAATGCAGCAGGCAGGGGCCGCTGCGAAAGACGCCGAGCGGCCAAAAGGTGTATGTGCATCCCCGCGACCTGCGCAGTAGCAGTGAACAGATAGATGAGGCTAACCGAGCTACCATGAGTATATATACTCACGGCTGGGCTTGCAAGTACGATTTAGGTAGCATTTAGCGAGTGTGCACGGCGATATAAAGCAACAGGGGTCTAAACGGCAATACGTTGCAGTCAGCCGCTCAACACAGCACAACTAATGTGCCCGTCCCCATCGATGTGCATGTAAACAATGCCCATGAAACTGGGGCACCCCGGAAAGCAGATACAGCAGTGAAACTACGCCACCCTCGTGCAAGACAGCGGTGGTGAGTGCAGCTAACGTTTATGGTCAGGTTGAGAGGGAGTACTGACGAATCAGCAGGAGAGAAGGAAACTCTTCTCTTTTGAGTTTCCTAACTTGAAAATAGAATAAGTGAAAATGAATAAAGGTCCCGGACTTTTCGTCGGAGAAGCGTCAGCGCTGACAGAGCACACAGCTGGACGGAGCTTAGCACAGAAACACGGACACTTCTTCTCAGAAATAACAATGATGACAGAAATTATAATTCAGTCAATTAAGCACACGCCCGCTATATTGAGAAATAACTGCCGAGATTTGGACAGCGTTGACTGCCAGCCCCCCTTTCCTCGCTGCACACAGTCCATCCGGTGTTGGTACACACAAACCGCTCCTTCGCAAGAATACTAGTGAACCATATTCTCATAGTTTAAGAGTCACTGAATCCTTTAATTCATGTTTTTCGTAAAAATCGTCAATTCAAGGGGAAGAACAAGCGGCGGCGAGACTGGCGGGGCAGAGCCCCCCTCTGTCTTGTATAGTCACTTCCAGCAGCTTATCGACTTCCTTCGCCATTTTCCTGCACTTGTTTGATTAAGACATTGGGGGCTGTTTCTGGAATGTTTCCTGCGGCAGCAGCTACTCGTTGTTGCAACCCTTCTCTTAGGGGGTTGCACAGGGGACTCTCGCCGCTTTTCAGCACCCCAGCAGATACTTCACGCCGTCCCGCGTCTTCGGTTCTTCAGAAACGTTTTCTAGGGAATGAAGTCAGAGGACCGGATTTCGATCCTCTCGATGTCAAGACCTGGGCGGTAAAGACTGAAGACACTATCCCTGAACCCTACCACTGTTGTATTGTTGGCGGCTGAGGTCAGCTCTGACCTGCAGCACCAGCCGACGAGGGAGGAGAAAATGATGAGCACACGCGTATCTTCAGCGTATACGGGCCCCAGCTGAAGGCGGTTTTGCTGCGGTCTCCTTGCTGCTTCTGTGCTGCTACTGGTTCGGTGTGGTGGACTCTTTCTGGTGCTTCTGTAGGGCGCCCACTGCACATTGCTTTCCATGTCAGATCTTCTTCCGATGGGTGACATTGGTGACATGTGTAGTTTGTGTCCTGTGTTTCTTGCGTTTTGCTTCAGCTGAAGCCGCACATTGAAGTGGTTTCCTCGGGCCTTTTCCGTCGTGCTAATAGTTACGGGGAATTCAAGGAGTTTTGTGAAAGCCTTCGCTTGCTGCTATTTGTTTTCGGCTCTGCTGGAATTGCTACAGATCTTCTCTTCTTCCACCCAACGCGGTCAGCTTACTGGCGTTCTTTGTCTCCTTTGCGCTGGCCTGGCCTCCTCCTCAGTCAGTTCAGAGGCTCGAACGGCACAGGTGGGGATTTTGATTTTGAAAAGGAGGGAATGACGACTTCGCCTGACGGCATCGTCAGAACTGCAGCCTATGCGGCTTTCGAGAGGGCCATGCGATAACCATCTGCTAGCGCCCTCATGAGGTCGGCAGACAGCTGAAAAAAGGGCTTAGAGAAGGAATGCCCTTGTACTACACTACCTCCTTCTGTCGAACTTGATGTTCAAAAGAAAGGTGCAAGACAGAGGCATCGATGTTCTGCCCAGCTTGGAGGCAGAAGCATGAAAATCGGAATGCCACTCAGCAGGAGCCAGCAGTGCAGGGTGGTGTTGTTTCTGTTTGTGTGGCACTATGGGGAAGCAGAACTTTTTAAAGACTGCAGTTGCAATTGCTTATCTGTTTGCGCATCAGCACTATCTTCCAACAAAATAGAACTGCAGTAGACCATAATAGGGAAGTACCATTAACTCCACCGGCATCCAATGATTTGCTTTCGGTTCATTTAACAGTACATTTAACGGTGGAGGTAAATGCAGTACGTGATAACGATACCACGTGTAGTTGAATCGAGAAAAAACCAGAGGATTCCAGTAATAACGCTTTAGCAGCTTGAGTTGTCGGTCTGATGGTGCGACTGTACCAAATGGATATGCACTTAGCCGACAAATCCCGCATATTCGGGGTTCCCCTTCCAGGTGGCATGCACAGGCACAAAGTCATTTACGGCTCTGCCTGTGACTACATACATCTGCATGCACAGAGAAGAAGCTCCGCTCCGATAGTAGTAGTATATTCTTTATTATTGATAACTAGTATTGAGCTTCAAATGCATACATCAAGCAAATGCTGCCGTGGCCTATTTTTCAATGAGAATTCTCCGTGGACAATATGTGCTAAACCTTGGGGGTGCAGATTCGAACAGAGGTTTTGTTGGCTATACTACATACGTGTGTATTGCCATTATTAAGAATTGGCCCGTCGCATATTATATATATTAGCTGGCTGCGGCCCGCCGTTCAGTTCCCTACATTTACTAAGGATTACTAAATTTGCATTTTAACCTGCAGTTCCTAGAGCTATGTATATGTATGGAGTAGTTCTCTCTACATTAGTACATCCACGTATGCAACGACAGCTACAGATCACCCAGGGAGTCGGACCGTTCACACCTGCTTTTCGTGTAGATAAAACTACTGACGTATTTCTCTGCTTTACCCATATGTGAATCTGCAGATAAGGGAGGGGTGGAGTGGCGACTGGCTAAGTCCCATCCGAAATGCCGTTGGTATTTGTTCTTTGTTTGGCTGGTGCAAACAAAAACTGCAACTGCAATGTCTTGCAGTGACTCTACGTGCAAAGAATCTGCATTAGCGGGTGCGGCAGTAACACACCAACCGATGTGCATGCAAGTGCATGCATGTGTGCACAGAGATACATGCATGCATGCATGCACGTGCGCAAATGAATGCAAAACTAGACGGCAGAGATGTGCACAGATGAAACCGCCTGTGCACAATGCTGCACATCTGTGCACACATAAACTCGGATATGTAAACAGGTGTACGTGACATATGCATAAACACACGTATGTACGCGTGTGTAAGCATACGCATATCATGTGCACCTACACACACATATATGTATACGTGTGTGGAGGATGCAAAGGCGTGCGCACCATATGTGCACAGACGGATGCTGCTGTCTCTCAGTTGCCCTCTCATGGCAGTTGGCTCTGCTATTTCTTCCGCTCCTCTTCACCTGCTGGTGAACTCAAAAACAGCGTCAATTTATGCTTGGAGAATCTGCCAACAAATCCAAGGAAAACCTGCCACTTCGCGCCGCTGAGTGCTGCTAACTCGCAGCAAATGGCCTTCGCCTCAGCACACATCCGGAAATCTGCAAATACAAACAAATCAAATGTGCCACAAACTGATCAACGAAAACGAGCATATTTGCAGAAAACACATCAACGACCACCAGTAAGTACGCAACAAACCGCCAAGCGGATGCCCTGTTGAGCAGCCCTCAGACAAACAGGTCGTAGCCTAGCTAAACACATCAAATAATAAGACGATCCAGGTGAACGATGAAGGCGACATTGAGACGTTTTGGCAGTCCCCACATGCTTATGCGGGGCCTCTGAACAAGTTTGGGGCCCCCGTCAAGGCTTGTGAGAGGCTTGTGAGGGACCCTCGCAAGTAGCTTGTTTAAAAATGATTCGAGTGTGTTGTTTCTGAGGCTGTTTGAGTTTGCTGTTTCTGAGACTGCTCCGCGTGCACTGTGGTGTCTGTACACCTCACCGTCGGTCGAATGTGTTGTCTCGGCAGGGGCTGTTGTTGCGGTTGGCGGAGGCCCCGAGCAGCAAAGCAGAGGCTGCATCACGCAGAGAACGAAGGCGTTGCTGAGCACCGCTCAGCTCCTGCACGAGATAGCGAGTTTCTTCTGTCTTTGCAGCGAGACTCTGCTGCAGCGTCTGCAGCCAACGGCAGTAAGGAGATACACACACACACACACACACACACACATTCACACTCAAAAAGAATGCAAAGTAGATAACAACCTGCGGATACATCTGAGCCATACGGAAGAAAGTGAAAACCACTCCACAAAAAAAAGAAAAGCTTCTGGTGCAATCGAAAATACTTTTAGATTGAGCCAGAAGCCGTTTATTTAACCCAATGAAGTGTACATACTATTGTCACTTAGTAATTGTCGTGGAAGCACAATACAACTTAACGGGGGCCTGAAGTTCTTTCACTTCTCCCTACGTGGCATCTTAGTCCATACAGTCTCTTCGTATATTTGCCTACTTTCTTTTCTGCCTCTTTGTCTGCTCTCTCTGTGCTCAAGTCTCATTGGTCTCTTCTATTCCCCTTCACATCTGCTCATCTGCATTCTCCTGCCTATCTGCCTACTGTTATATTTGCTCCCTTTCCTATCTGCTTGTCCTTTTGATTTCAATTTTGTCTACGTGTTGGCCTGGGGTCTGCTCACCTGCAGCTTCTCGTGTTGCGCCTTCACAGCTCTGGCAAGCAACAGTTTGTCGTTTTGCAGCAACTCCACCCGCTTTGCCAGCTCCTGCCCTGCAGCAACGCATTGTTATGAGCAGATACAACTTTAGCCGCATTCGTTAAGTCAATGATGGCTGTTAGGGACTCGCAGAGGCAACGGAGTGAGCACGTACGACAAAAGAACAGTGGAGACACCCTTCAGACTAAGGCACAGTTTGGGGTATTTCATTTGCATCACGAAAAAGGAGACGGAAACGGCGACAGACGAAGAACATGGACACACGTAAAATAAAGGAAAAGGCACAGAGAGAGTAACACCTCGTCGGCATCGGCCTCTTTTCGTGTCAGCTTACTCTCGGCTTCTTTGGCGAGTTCAGCTTGCGAGGGCTCATCTTGTTGCGCATGCGTCAGCTGCATCGCATGTTCCCTCAACAGCGCCGCTGCCTTCGCCTTTGCATCATCCCCGCTGGTCGCTGTTACGATAGCCCACATAAGCCGCTCTGCCACTTCGTCGCACCAAGCCTCTGGCAGCAGCTCGCGGCCTAGCCCTCCAGGTCCGTTAGCCCCTCGGTTTGCTGCTGAGTCAGTTCCTGTTGTTGTTGCTGCTGACGTTGTAGGGCCTGCTGCTAAAGAGGCACCTGCAGCAGCAGACGTCACGGGAACAGGAACAGAAACCCTGCTTCCCAGAAGCGGATGCTGCTGCCCATGTTGCACCGGCTGTTGCTGCTGCTGGTCTGCAGCAGCAACAGCAGAGCAGCCGCTGCTGGGACTGCCGCCTGCTACTTCCATCGAGACGGATCCTCTCCTGCAGCCACTGAGAACAGCGGATGGGTCTTCCAGGGCCTCGAAGCAGTCTGCGTGCGGACCACCACAAAACAGGGATCAGATGTATTATCTGTACACTTGTGCAATGTACAATCAGGCTCACGTGTCTTTTTAGAACAGCAACCAAAAGCTAGGACTGAGCGATGAAGGGCTAAGGAGCAGGAGATACACCCTAACACGCAAGCCACCGAATCTCCAGAAACCCCTAGAAGGGGCATCTACTGACGTTGCATCGACTGCAGCGGGGTTGCTTCAACAGCTACAGCTGCTCCTGCTGCTGCTTCTATCGCTGGTGCTGCTGCTGTTGTGAGCAAGGTGCAGATGATAAGGAAAGAGACTCACCGTCAGGGCACCTCTTCCGCTTGGCCATGGGAGCCCCTGCCTTGGTGCTGAAGAGGCCTGTATTGGTATCACTAACAACTCGCACGAGGGCGTGAGCCCTCTGCAGGTCGTTGTCCGCCGTTTCCAGCAAAGACACAATAAGCTGCAGCAGTAACAACACATCAAAGCGTGATCAATGCACACGTGATCAATGCACACTCACCTACACGCACAACTGCAGCTGCAGCGGCTGCGCAGCAGGGTGACACACATACAAGTACAGGTGCACTGACGAAGGACTGAATACGCATCGACCACAATAACATTAATAGCCGTGAAGTTTACTAGTATTACTAAGAATTACACAATCTATCGGTAGATCTGAATAGTTCAAATGCCCGAGTGAGAGACAAACAGATAAAACTTGCCCCTTGATGAACGGAAGGAAACGCCTTGCAGAGATCGGCCAAATTGGAAGCAAAGGTGGGTGGCCTCCGTGGCCCCTCAATGCAGACGATGCTGCTGCAGTTCGCGCTGCTGTTGGTGTCGTTGTGACAGGGACAGCTGCAGGTCAAGCAGCAGTCCACTCCCCCCCCAACATTGGGCCGCGAAGCACCCGCTGTTGTTGCCGCCCCTTGTACTGCTGGTGCTGCTGGTGCTGCTGGTACTTCGGTGGGCCCCTCTGTAGCAGGAGAGGCACTGCCTTGGGGAGACGCCTCTGAGGAGGCCAGAAGTCCTGATGCTGCTGGTGGTGATGCGGCTGGCGCTGCTTTAGCCCCTCCTGTTATGGTATCAGCGGGAGAGCGACCACCACCAACCTCCGCCTGCTGGGGGGCTTTGCATAAGCTGCAGCAAGAAGGCACTGTTCGGGTTCGCTTGGACTCCACGTGAAGGTGCTCCTTCAAATCAAAAGAGAGCTGTTGCATTTCCTTGCCCAAGGATGCGTCAGCTGTAGCAGAAAGAGAGGACCCCCGAGACGAAAGACGCGAAGGCGGCGGCTCCCCTACAGGTTCCCCCGCAACTCCAGGGGCCTCCCCACGGGCCCCAGGCGCAGGGAGGTGTCCCCCACTCTCTTGTTGGAGGCGAATGGGAAGCGAGGTTGGCCCTGGGTGGCCTTCTCGCCGCTCCTTAGGGGGCCCTGAGGAGACCATATAGGTCCGATCGGCTTGGGCTTCAAAGGAAGGGTTCTGAAGCATCTTTTCTTCTAAGATGAAGCATAGAAGACTACCGGCGTAGGGGGGCGAAGGTGTACAGACACCTTAACGCCCCCAGAAGGCAGGGGAGCCAGGGCGCAAAATGCTGTCTAAGAGTAAACTGCTTGGGGCCCCCTTTGCGATGTAAAATTGAAGAGTGTTGCCTTCCCCCCGACTGACACAACAACGAGCTCTGCTTGCTGCAGTCTGGAGACCGCGTGTCCGTGGGCAAGCGGGCAGGGCCCGCAAGGGTGAAGCACCGGTTGACCACCCGGATAAGCAGCTCTTAAAAGAGGCCTTCACGCTGAGGAGGCTCTGAAATACGAGGGAAAGGCCCCGGTGCGCCTGCTCTTGCATGCAGACGACGCGGCCACAAACGCAGCTGTAGGGCGTTAAACGGGCGAATGAAGGGGAAAACGGATAAATATTAAATGGAAGAAGAAATTAGCACAAATAAAATTGAAATAAGCACAAGTCCGTCGTACTTTCTTCAGGGTTCAGCTGCCGATTCAAACCGCATTCGGGTACCTCCGAGAGCGGTGTGCCTCCCTTGGGCCTCTGGGGCCCACTCTGGCCTTGTGTGCAATGTTCATCCATATATAGCTAGGTTTTTGGTTTTAATGAGTGCATTTGAATTTAGTTTGACGGTATTTAGTAAAATTTATCTGAAAAAGCACCACAAATATAACAGGCCGCGCAGAGGCTTGAGATTGCCCGGTGCAGTCAGCTGTGGCGGCTCCTTGCGTCCAAATACGCCGCATTTGTACGTTTACTATTTGGAATAGCTATATTTTTAGAAGCTTCAGTGTTTTTGGTTTGTCTTTTAGACTCATTCTCTTCTCATTAGCTAACCACGACCTTCACAGCGGCAACTCGATCTCCCAACAGAGAGGCCCCAGCGAGCCTCAGCGAAGGCGGCGGCGTTTTCCCTCTCTTTTCATCTTGTCTTCCTTTTTTAACTATGAGGAATCCTATTATTTTTTATTTCGTTTAAATCTGGGGAGAAACCAAGGGATAAGAGGGACGAAGGACGTCTCACCTACTGAATTTCAATGCCCTGTAGACCACGGCGAGGCGGATGCGGCCTTCTGTCGATGTTGACAATGATAAATATAGATCAAGTTCCCATATCTATAACTCCCGATGCGTAGGGGCTGTACATACATGCCGGTGCTTGTAGATGCAGCACAACATCTGTCTAGGAGCGTTCGGGTCCAGTTTACCATCACGTGGACCGCAGGGTGGCCTCTGGCATCTTAGTTTTCTTGCAGCGGAGTTCATCTGTCGCAGCTCCGGATTTGTGCTCCCTTTTATATGATATTGATGCTGCATATTAGCTATCGTACGTTCTTCTGCAGCCGCCCTACTCTTCATTTTTATTATAACATCTGCTCTATTGCCACGTTGGTTGTCTCCTCTTGACGCTCCCGTGCCTGCTTTCTCTTTTGGGCATGAGTTCTGATTGGAAGTTTCCAGCTCCTGGAGGTTGATCGAATTCGCCAGCGGATACTGCGTCATACACCCTGCCGGTTGCTTATCTTCCTGCTTGAGCTGAGTGGCAGCGCCATCTGCATCTGCTGCTACATTAGCAGCAAGCAGCAAGATGGCGGTGCGTGCGATCCCGTATACGATAAAGGTGGAGGTGATTGAAGTGCGGGGGTTGTCCTTTAAAGAGTCAGCGGGGGAGAAGGAGATAGTGCCGAATCCGTATGTAGACGTGACAGTGGGTGGTACGACGAAAAGCACGGTTCAGAAGAACCAGGTCGTGTCTGCAACCTACAATGCTTCGTTCAACTTCCAAGCCACGTTAACTCCTGAGGAGTTCCAAAGGAGTTACGTTGAACTCGCAGTCATGCACAGATACACCTTGCTGGGCGGCGTCGGGCTGCAAAGTTCAATCATAGGCAAATATGTCCTCAGCTTTGCGTGTGTATACTCCAAAAGTCAGCACTGGATGTACAGGCAATGGATTAAGCTCAACAACTTCGAACAGCTCATCGCCGACCCCGTAGGCAATGAATGCCTTTCCCTCTTCCATATACTCCAAAAGTCAGCACTGGATGTACAGGCAATGGATTAAGCTCAACAACTTCGAACAGCTCATCGCCGACCCCGTAGGCAATGAATGCCTTTCCCTCTTCCATTCCAGCCCACTTGATTTCTTTCGTCCTTGTGTGATGCGTTTTGATGCATGATTATGAGTGTCTGCTGCTTACGTGCAGGGGATGATGCTGCTTACAGTGGGTGTGTTTGGGCCAGGTGATCCGTTGCCTGTGATAGACGAAACAGTGGCGTATGTAAACGAAGAAGGAGACAGAGTAACCAAGGAAGTTGATGTGAAGTCAACTTACTACAACTTAACTGTCAACATATTCAAAGGACAAGACATCAGCGCTGTAGTCGGGCAGCTCACCACCACCTGCGAACCCTTCGTCAAGGTATTGCAAATCAAATCACAGCAGTGCAGTACAGTGAACTGCACCAGGGAGAGAGTAATATAATAATAATAGTGGCACAAACCTAGTAATGCAAACCGACAGAGAAGATGGAACGTGACATACAATGTTATGCCTGGATTGAGGTCGCCCTTTATCGTTCTGCCCGTGTATATATATATATATATATATATATCTTGTGTTGCATGCAGGTGAAGCATGGGGGTGTGGAGTTGCAGACGCGTGCGCTTCCTGAGCACAGCCCAGAGTGGCAGGTTTCGATATCTTTGCCTGCTTGCATACCGTGTCACGACGATACTGTTTTGGTGGAATTGTGGAACGGGGGAAGCAGCGCAGTGCTTATGGCGACTTTGGTCTTAGATTTCTTCGAACTTATTAAAAACGAAACAGCCACTCGCTGGTTCAATTTCTATTGGAGGCCGCCAACAGAAGGTCTGACTCAACCCGTCAAGCGTTTATACGCAGAGCGTCATTTCTGTGGATTATGTTGTGCATAGGATGGGTCTGGCTGTTTTCATCTGCATGCGCTATGTATAAGTGTACTGTTGCCTGCTTTGATCGCCAGGACCGTTGTGGCGTGTGTATCCAGCTTACGTGTCTCCACACCATCGTGCACGTGCTGCAGTAGATCATTTGTGGATTCTGCGTGCACGTAAGTATACAGCTGCAGTTGATTCATCACGCATGTGCGCCTGCGTGCATGCTTTTGGGGTGTATGTACAGGTCTTTTTGGGGCCGTGCAGGATATGCTAACGAACGCGGAACTGCGGCAGGCCAACGCCTATGCAGGTCGTATTCTTCTGAGCGCCTCTTGTGTGAAGGTGCAAGCTCCGTTGCCGATGGGAGTGCGTTCGATCCGCGCCGTGCACGAACCTCCGCAAGTAGAGTACGTGTTGTGGGTAGATGTCTACGAGGTGTCTTGCAATTCGCTGCTCAGCAACGAATTGCAGGCAGAGGTTTCTTTTGGACCTCATGCACTCAAATCTCCTCCTCTCATGATCGAAGAAGCAGGATCCTACACTTTAGAAGCCGAACAAGGACGCATGGAGGAGCTCAAGGTGTACCTGCCAGGTATATACAATAGACAAATTCACACCCGCAGCAATTAGCCTTCTTCGGAGCAGCTCGTGATGCAGTTAGAGGAGTTTTTCATTACCATAGGAATTAACACTGTCATAACGGTGGGCATTTAATTTGTTTGCATCTTAGAGGATAGACCTGCGAACTTTGTCGGAGTTGGGAACTGCCCCATTTTTCAGGAACTTCGATATTCACTTGTGTGCAATGCATGTGTGTAGTAGCGGTTCTGATCATCTGAAGTATGTGCTTGCTTGTATACTAACCGTTTGCTGCAGCTGAGGACGCTCAGACGTGGGCTTTTTTTCTGTATATAAACAGCATCTCGTCAGCGAGCGCAGCAGCCAATGTGGCTGCGAACGTAATGAACTGGTTTGGCGGGTTGGCAGGAGGCGCAGGAGGTGACGTGGACGGGAACGCCGAGCCGAGTGTAAAGTCAAATCGTTTGGCGTGGGCTATGATTCCCTTCAATTCCAAAAACCTGCAAGAAGGCAAGCCCATATGGTATTCTCTCCGTGCAGCAGACGGCTCCGGAACAGACCCGTTCTCGATGCTCGTGTCTATCACTTGCAAACCTGCAAGGACGATGGGTGAACGGCCGGCGAGACTGCAGTACAACTTGCAGCGGTATGTGTCGCCTATCATTTTTTTGTTTAGAATTGAGAGTTGGGTTTTGAACGGTTCTGTGGTGCAGGGCCTTTTTAGTTGTAAATACAGGCGACAAAGAGGGTTTAGGGTATAGTAAAATTCATCTATTGTCTCAACATCTGTGTTAACTGCATCCACGTGAAGCAGCCGATTTCTTCTAGTGCCTGTGTCGTTTGCAGGTATTATTTTCGGGCGCTTATTTACGAAGGGCTGCATCTTCCGGCCGTCGGCTATGACCAGTTCCCAAACCCCTACATTAGGGTGAGGTAGCAGAGGCATGATGAATAATACTTGCTATCATAATCATAGTGCAAGTAATTATAATTACTGGTACTACCAGTATCATGTCTCGAAATCGTGGCGAACTTTGCAGCACTTTTAGCAAGCGCTCTATACGAGCACGTTCCATATCGGAGAAGAGCAGAACGCCAAAACTTTAGTCGACAGGGTAATTAATGCAGCACAAGGGAGATGGAGATCCAGTGAATCGCGTGTGTTTGCAGGTGGTGCTGGGAAGTCAACAACTGAAGACCCTCACATTTCGACAAACCCTAAACCCTTCGTACTACGAGGCAATGGAGATGGAAGTGATTCTACCGGAGATGATGCAGTTGGCACCGGACATCGTGGTGGGTTTCCTGGAACCTAAGCTTCGGTTATTTGCCTTTGTTGCGTTTGCTTGCTACTGCACGCTCAAAGAATGTATACATGCACAGTGTTGAAGGACCTGTGCAACCCGATATACTTAAATATTAAGGCGTAGAATGTGCGTTTTCCTGCAGTTGGAGGTCTGCTCGGAGTCTGACTCACTCATCAGTGCAGATACTGTTCTAGGCTCAACGACGTAAGGTCTATCCAAAAGTAGTAATGAATATCGAGTTTGACGCCAAGTGTTTTGGTTCGTCGGATTTATTTGAGCCGTTCTGTGGGGATTGAGTGCACTAAGAACTGCCAAAAGTTAAAATGTAGCATGGGGTTTATACTTTTCGGTGTACTATATGATGTGTGGGGATTTCGTGTTAGGTACCCTATCCACAAGGTGCCAAAGGAGTGGAAGAAAGCACCTGTATGGTTGATGCTGCATTCTAAACAGTATCCGCGGTGCAAGGCGAAGGTCTTAGTAGCATTTGAGCTTGTGCCTGCTGAACTGGTGGAGAATGATACTTATCCTTTCTTCGACGACATTAGGCCGTCAACCAAGCAGGCCACGGTTTCCATTTTCTTGGTTGGCGTACGGCTCTTCTCGCCGGTTCAAAAGCCCTATGTGGAGGTATGTCAGTGTGTTTCCACCTTTGCTCACGTACACATTGGCACCAGCACATGGATCATCTGCCGTGTATCTTAGTTATCCGCATCTTCAGCTGTACAACTGAGGTAGACAATCGGGGTTATGAGTGTGGAACGTCCCTCTGCTTATTCGGCTTCCTCTGATTTCACGCAGGCCTTCTGGCACTGAGTCATCCACTGTGCTTGTTTTTCAGCCATTTTCTTGGTTTATTCACGGTTTTCTTTGTTTCCTGTTGCTTGCGATCTGAAGGTCTGCTTTGGCCGCGATGTGGAGGACACGACAAAACCACTATGGTCCGAACGCACCAGCGAGCCGCATGTGGGGGAGGGAGGGAACTGGAATTTTCTACAGCATTTCAACGTCTCAGTCTCGCTGCCAAAGCGCATGCAGCACCACTGCTTCATGGAGGTGAAGGTGCACGACGAAGTCGAGGGTATATCGGGAAAAACCATGACAGAGGTGGGGATGGCCTACATTACCCTCAACCCTCTTCTCCCCTGGCTGGAGCAAAGAGAACGCGAAGAGGTAAACCGATCACTATGCCCACTGCCCGGACCAAACATCAACAGACCATTCACTATATTCTGGTGGCTGTACCGGCACATGAATTTTGTTTTGTGGTGGGCAGACTCCGCTCAACTTGTCAGCATACTGGAAACGGTTAGTAAACAAGTTACTGCTTGAATTAACTACGTCTAGGGCTAATATGTGTATATATGTTTTGTTTGAGCCTGTCCTCGTGCAGACAAGGGAAATGTTTAAACTGCAAGTCATGGAGGAGGTCCTCATTGAGGATGCTGAAAATGCCAGGGTGAGTAAACGTTCAGTATAAATGAGACAACTGAACGACCAATATGAAAACGCACCACATAAAGAATGAGGACAATGCATCTGCACGTGCTTGTGGGTTGCGTTTTTTTTTGCAAGTCCAGTCCGTGACTGGCGTCTACGTGTGAATACACAATGAAGCAAATTGCAGCGACTGTACGGATACAGAGCAGATTAGCAGGCAAATTGAGAAAGTGAATGCGAAGCAAATAACTGTAGCTTACGGGTGAATAACGTACTTACATGGCCGACAACATCGAAGGACTGCAATGCTTGCCAACGTACGTGCCATGCAAAAATCTCTTCGATGAGATGCCAAAACAAAACTTTTCATATTCTGCTTTCGTGTGCAGCGACTGGGAGACGGAGTGGCGGGTCAAACGGGGGATCAGGCCCCTCCAGAAGAGGGGACAGCGCCGCAGGCTAGAATGGCAACGCCTGCCAAAGTACGCCTTGAATTCAATTGAATGCAATACAGTAATAAGAGCAGCAGTAGTAGAAATAATAATTATAATCATTATAATGCACAATTGTTATTTTTATGCTGCTACCTTGGTGTAACAGTAATTGATGTACCGTTTGTATTACATGGTCATCAGTAGGAGTTCATGCCGATACGTAGATCTGGAAATGTTTGTCGGCGGCATTCATAACAACGAAGATAATATGACTGTAGTGGCGGAGGAAACGGTAATAGCCAGGCCAAAAGATTAGTAAACGGACTACTATATTTACGAATAAAAACGACGAAGCTGTTGAACTAATACTAATAAACCTATATAAAGTCTTTTCACGAGTTCACCTCAAACAGTATTTAATTGATAACTCATCTCCCCTAAGAACAAATTAAGCATGGTTGACGGTTAGCATCTTGTTGTTGAGGGCACGCATTGGTGCTGCAGGTGGTCAAGAAGCTGCTGGTGCCGTACAACGACCCAGATGCTGCAAACTGTCGTTTGGAGACAGTCGACGACTACGTGGCGTTTGGCGCAGGTGCAGCAACTGCAGCAGGAGCAGGGACGCCGCAATTGGCTCCTGTTGATGAAGAACAGCAACCCCCCAAGATGCGCTCACGAGGTAATGGATTTTTAGGCAATTTAGTATTGAAGAAATCGCATGCAGCATCTGGAACGAAAGGAGACGGAGGGATGGAACGCAACGAGGAACTCTACGGATTTGAGCCCGAAGCATTGGACTTCGTCCTCACTATGGTTTGTATTTACCCTGTCATTTGCTTGGTTGTTCTCTTGTTTAATGGTGGCGCTTGCTTTAGCCTGTTCCGGCTTGTGTGTGTGCGGTGATATCAGTTCATTCAGCACTCGTTCTGTGTGTGTATGCTCGTAATGCCTAGCTTTATTGGTTTCCCTCTCCTCAGGTGTCATCGTTTTCCTCCCTTGCTGCTCTTTGTGGATTTGCTTGTTTTCTGCCGTTGTTTTGCACTTCCTACCCGTTGTGTCGGCGTATCACGGTCGAATAATATTACGCACATCTCTGCATTAGCAGTGGATATGTATTTATGTGCAGCCTCCGTTTGTATTAATTAATCTCTCAACGTATTGGCATTCATTAATGTTATTGCTCTGTGAATATAGGTATGATCTCTGTTTCTTCTATGTTTGTTTTTGTGAATTACAGGCAGACGAAGATGAAGTGGAGGAAAACATGAGGGACGAAGTACCGTACGAAATGGAAACCGACTTCGGCGTTAATGACCTGCCGTACCTCAGAGTGCCAATATTCAGAGTGAGCACTCCTTTCCTTCGCCTTAGCTTAGAGTAGAACTATAGAGTAGACAAACAGCAACTGAACAGAGGAAAGAGCACGAACACGCATTAAAAGAACAGCATCTTGCCGAGGGAGTAGTTCCAGGAGACGAGCAGCCAATTCTTTCCTACTTTGTGTCTGAATTGGATTTGCCTCACAAAAATGTTCACCAGCTCCACTGTGCAACGGCAGCGCGTTTGAATTGTCTGTGTCGTCCATTTCTTTCAATTTGCTCCCGTTTTCGTTTTGCTTCAGTGTACTGATTGCGGAGTTCCCGAGACGATAGGATATCTCAAGTACATTTGCAGGGTTTACCAGGGCGATGAGTGCAGCAGCGAAATGGAAGAAATGAAAAAAGTGTGCCAGGATTTGGTGCAAAAATACGAAAGTGCGTTTTTGTCAGTGCGTGTGCATTACACTTACTGGCTGCACGAGTGAACAATTGAAGTAGAAATATTACTCCTGTTTGCTATAGTTCAATAAACATAGTCAACAAATTGCAATCAGTAGCGAACCAGAACCAGGCAGGCAACGCACTTGTATTATTCGCCGAGGCGTCCTAGTCGGTTTTGTCGCTCCATTGCATTGTTGTGTTTTGTTGTGTATATTTGATACATCTGCAGTTTAATAATGTTTTCAGTATTCATATGTGTATTATTGTTTTGCTCGGTGCTTATAAGGTTCAAAAATCTGGCCTTGTGTTATTTATATTTGTTTGTGCTGGCCTCCAAATTATTATTTCTTCGCGTTGTTTTGTTTTGTTGCTGTTTCTCACTGCCGTCGGTTCATTTGGTTCAATAATAGGTTTACTTTCAGTTCGTACTAAGTAGTCTGTACCTTGTAGAGTTGCTCACCCTTTTTTATGCCACTCAGATGTTTTACAGTAAAGCTTTACATCTGCCTATTGAAACCACGTAGTTATCCAGCTTGTTTTGCTCAAGTATTTCTCTCGTATTCTGTCTGCAGCAACACGCGACCTTGTGGTGCGTGCGTACATATTGGCGGCTAGGGGCTTGGTACCTCCTTCCGGGGCTTCTGATATTCAAACCTACGTTTGGATTTACAACTCCTCGAGCACTGCAACACTTTCTGGAGGCCTGACACATAACTTACGAGACTCAGGGCATGTGAAAAAACAGGGCTTCAAACCCGAGTTCAATCGGTGCTACGGGCTTGCCTGCTCCCTCCCGGAACATGCAGTCGTACAGGTATACAAAAGCAGCGCTTTCTTTTCCTGTTTTTCATGGTTTTGTGTGCTCCATAGTGGTTGCCAGAATTCGTCTGTCTCTTCTGAGAGTTTACTGGCCCACGATTTTGCTGTCCTGTGGATCACGTATACTGCTGCAGCACGGTTGTAAACGCCACAAACACCAGACAATGTCTCACTTCGACACTACACTTGACACGAACACCAGCGCCAATCAAAAATGGCACTTCTGTGTGTTTTGCCTTGCAGGTAGCGATAATGAATCAGGGGCGGGTGATGGATGAATGCGTGGGGAGGACGTTTATAGACATGGAGGACCGTTTCTTTAATCCAAAGGTAGCAGCAATGGTGGAACAAGAAATAACGCCTATTGAGCTCAGGTGCGCGATTACAAGCAACTGCAGCAGGCTCTGTGTCCAGGGTTTTAACTGAGTGCCTTCTTCGTTGTTTTTTCGAGTACATGGCTCCCCTGTCTCTCGTTGTTGAGTCGATTTCATTGAGTTGATCCACTCCTGCCTGTCCTTTGCATTCTCATCATTGGCAGAACTCTCAAAGTGGAAGGCAGCACCGTTTCTCACGGAACGTTGAGGGGTTTCTTTGAAATAATGACGGAAGACTACGCACATGAACATCCGCCCTTTACCCTCGCGAGTGCAGAGGCTGACGACTTCCAGCTGCGGGTACGCATCAATATATCAACCGCTAACTGTACATGTTTTAATATATGCCATGGGGGAAGGGCCTGGCCAATGCTTACCTGCATGCGCACGTGTATAATATCTATTAATAGAGTGACGAATACAAAATACAGTAAACATCAGGACCACACATAGATGAACACACTTCGGAGTGGGAGGTAGTGATAGGCCTGATACAAATTTGTAAAACAGTTTCTAGATTCTGTGGTTAAAAATTATGCATGCATGAATGTATGCAAGTGGAGCATGCGTGTGATATCACAAATATGACTTAAAGTCATAGACGTGGTGTGCTGTACGAGTTAGTTTCCTTTTGTTCTATTTTCCTCTCTGTATTGGTTTATGGTTAAGCGTTTAGATTTTAGGGTTATTTTCATTGCGGCTTCAGTTGGTGATATGGCGCGTAAAGGCAGTTCCTCTTGACGACAGTTCGTCAATTTCGATGTTTGTCCGTTCTATATTTACGTTGGAGGAGAACTCGGAGATTGTGAGGGATACAGACACTCACTACAACAGCAAGGACGGGTCAGGAGTGTTCAACTGGCGATGCGTCTTTGATGTCAAAATACCTGCACCCATTCCCGTACTCAAAGTGCAGATATGGAACTACGCAGTACTCAGTTCTGGCGAACCCATCGGGGAGTGCAACTTTGACCTAACCGCCGACTTCTTCAGGGCCAGGAAGAGAGGACAAATCTATCGACTACCCAAGTAAGCAAGTAACTAGATGAACCGCAGCACCCAAACAAGCAAATTCAGGAAAGCAAGCATGCACTTCAGCGCACATAAATATGAGCATAATTACCCAAATATATCGCATATTTCGTGGCCTGTTCCCGGTTTCAGGTTCTGGTTGCGTTGCACACATCCGGCTTTCAAAGGGCGATCTCGGGGCTCTGTGGAGGTAGAGGCGAGTATATTGCCTCTGAAGGAGGCGGACTACTCGCCTGTAGGCCAGGGGAGAGAAGAGCCGAACAGAGACCCATTTCTGCCTGCAGTGACCCAAAACAGAACTTATGTAGATTGGGAGGCAATCAATGAAACAGTGGGTGCAGCAAGCAGTGCTATTATGTCGGGTTTGAAGTGGACAGGGGTTTGGATGGCTGTGGCCGGCGTGGTGGCCATTGTTATCTTCATCATGTTCCTTCTTAAATGAAGCAAGCTCTACAGTCATGAAGAGTTTTATTTTAAGACAGCTAAATGTATCAATATATCTACAGAAAGCCGCTTTGTTCAGGTGGATATACACCAAAGAGTGTGTTATATTATTTAGTTTTGTGTGGAAATCTCAAAGATATGTGAGCTAAACGTTTTGCCGTTTTGCAAGCAGCTCTATGAGACCACCACACGCAACAAAAGGACCGCGCGATGATGCAACGATTTCTGCCAGCTTTCTGCTGTTTTGCATCTCGCCGTGTTATGGCAGCTTATTAGACAATACATTATTAGACAAAACACCAAACATTTGTCCCTAAATTGTTGCCTCTAACAACTGCAACTATTAGAAACAATCAAACGCATGCACACAGGTTATGCTGCTGACAGCACAGTGTGTGTGCAATTGGCTAACACGAAGTGCCACAAGCCAGCATTTCCGTTTCTTATTTTTCTGTCAATTCGAACTGTCAAACTTCAACGAATTCGTTTTAAAAGACCCAATTGTTCTGTTGGTCTATATGAACTCTCCAGGAGTTCGCTGGAGATAATAATAGTCCAGCAGCGAATGCGCTGTACGTACACATTTTCCTTCGTTATTTGCATTCAGTAATGTATTTGTCTATCTAATCCACTTAGGTGGAATGCGATGAAATAATACACTATCCCCAAGAGAATCCCTAATGGGGTGTATGCATGCATGTACGCACACGACACACACGGGTCTAACACCATCCATAGGCATGAGGGGGTTTCCTAGGAACTAATGACAAAAGGTCATCAGGTAGAGGGTCCGTAGGGCATTTATAATAATGGTATTCAACAGCTAGAGTGCGTGCCTCCTCCAAGCCAAACTTATTAACAGGGAAGCCCATTGTCCTTGCCTTGCCGTTCTCCTTCCAACATGTACGCACAAGGTTACGATGAGGATCGAACCATACACCACGAGCTTTAGGGTATTTATTGAATTGAGCAGGAGTAGGGTGTGTTAACAACCCCACCTTATTCTGTGGCTCAGGAAGGAAATGATGAACATGAAATTGCCTATAAGGGAAAGATCTATGTGCCCCCCCTCTGCTTCTTCTTGTACATCCTCCTCCCTCATTCTGCCCATTAGAACCCTGAGACCCTTCTCCTCTTCCTCCCTCCCCTTCTTCTGCTGCTCTACAGGGAGCCTCTTCTCCAGAGGATGAGGTAACAGCTTCTGCTGCCTCGCTATCATGACCCCTTCTTCTTGTAGGTGGTGCTGCATGCGTCCCACCACCACCCCCGTTCCCACCACCAGAAGAAGCCTGCTGCTGCTGCTGCAGTCTTATAGGGCTGCTGCCTTGATTCATATTATATAAGGCATTAGGTCGTCGCCGTGGCCTCGCAGCCTCCAACACTCTTTCGTACCTTTGGCTGCTGTTACGTTCAAATGCAGACCGACGAGCGCTGTACTCCTCTAGCAGCTGCTGCAGCTGCTGAGGATCGCTGTCCGCCGCGGGCGGTACAGTTGCTGCTGTTGCTGCTGTTGCTGCTGTTGCTGCTGTTGCTGCTGTTGCTGCTGTTGCTGCTGTTGCTGCCGCAGCCTTTTTTGTTTCTATCTCCTTACTACATGATACTGGATGCTGTCCATTTATCCTCTCCGAAGTACTAGTAGTACCAGCAGCAGCAGCAGCACTAGCGCGCTGCATGGAAAGTTTGCTGCTGCTGCTGCTGCTGCTGCTTGTCCCGTTTGGGGTAAGGCGTAATCTAGTAGTCCCTTGATGCTGGCAGTTGTTAGATGGAAGGCTTTCCTCCTGCTTAGGTGCAGGCGTAAGAGTTATATGAATCTTTTGAGCTTCTGCTGCTGCTGCTGCTGCTGGTGTTGCTGCTGCTGCTGCTGCTGTTCCTTTCGTTGCCGTTGTATGCTTCCCATTGGGAAGAGGAGAACTACTTCCCTTGTTGCCTTTATCCTGCAACATTGGTTGGGTCTCGCTGCTTGGTGTCGGCATTTTGGGTGTCTGTGGAGCTCTATTATTCCCCTTACCAGACACAGATGTGCTGTCTATACACCTCAGGCGTCGTGCTGCACTGTCTAAGGAACCACAAGAGCTAGGCGTGTGGGGGGCAGTTGTAGGGGTGCTGCCTTCGTCGCTGCCTTCTGCGTGGCATATATTTCCACCAAGGCATTTCTTTGGGGCTTTCGATGGCTTAGATAGAAGACTGCATGCAGAATTAGAATTTCTATAACAAAGCCCTACTTCAGCCATCCTTGTTTAGGAGGCTGTGTGTCTGTACAGACACCGCAGCTCACAATACGTGAACTGCACGACGACGAGAATTCGTCTGTTGAATATTTATATTCCTTTTTCCCTCAGCAATTCAATAAGTCTAATCAGAACAGAATTGCACATTTATTCAGATTTATCTATCTAATTTCTATCAAATCTTCCACATGTTTATAATAGAGGCCTTCTTTAACCATACAACTGCAAACCACACGCGCACACGATGCTCGCAGCCAGCCGCTTCTTCTCCTTTTTTCCTCCAGACCTCTAGATATAGCTGAAGGCCAAGTGAGTACCGATGACTGCTAGATTTCTTACTCCTGAAATCTAGTATCCCTTCACAAGGCAAAGAAGGGATGGACGTGCATTCGTGAATAATTTGAATGCCGGGGTTTCATGGACAAAGAGGGGCATTTAGACAGAAAAGGCAACCGGCGAGACCTTGCAGATGATTCATGTCCCACCGAAAGCTTGTTATTCAAATATGAATGGCGTATATACTCCTTATTCAGAAAAACTGACTACCGTCTTCCGCTGCCTGTGGGCGGCTTGAAGCTGGTGATCGAGCAATCAGCAGATGCGCAATAGGCGCTGTAGTTCAGAACCAGCTCGTCATCTGGAAAATAGACGAAAGTTTTGAACACCTTTACGCTGCGTCGAGTTAAAGGAAGGAAGAACGAATGAGGTGTCGTGACACCCGAAGCGGGCAACGAACCAGGACCGGTGGATCAGCGGAAGGTCGCGGTGTGAACCCCGTAGCATACGAAGCATAAAAAGCCGAAACACGCCAAATAAGACACTAAAGAATCAAATAGTGTTCAGGAGATGTGAACAAATGTAAAATTATGCCTTATTTTGTCGCTCTTTAGAGCAGGTGATACAGCAGAAGCCACGGAGCGACGACCGCGCGGAGCCGCCGCTGTGCTCCCCCGTCCGCTTCTAGCTGAACTGTGGACAGAAGAATCCGATTAAATAAAGAATTCTTTGACCTTAAAATCATATAAAAGACTCATTTGGTGAATTCAACAGGTTTTCGTTCATGGGAACACCTAATACACCCCCCAGACCGCCAGTATCCAGCCGCCACCATCGAGCCCTCCTAATCTAATAAGTAGGTCTTGTACCCCCACAATCATTCCTTTATAATCACAGCAGACATAGTCATTCATCTTTCTTTTATTTATACAGGATAAGTAATTAAAATGTATTGTGCATGTGACGACCCTCCCTCACGCTCTTTTCCTATCAGCCTCCTACACGGCCTCCTGTAGAGTACAGCAGCTTGTAGGCTTGACGGCACGGCAGGCCGGGCAAAAGAAAGCTATTTTATGCTCTTCCTTATACACCCGTCTGCATGCGTCTCTCTATATTCATCATATATGATGAATATAGAGGCGCTTGCCTCCTCTTTCTTTCTTATTAGGTATATAAAGATGTATTGTAATGTAGGTACACCAGGCACAGTTAGCCTTAATCATAAATGTAGATAAAATACACACAAAGAAACAACACAATAAGGACTACTATCTAACAATTGCATGCATGCAGAGAGCAGCTGTATGAATAATGCTGTAGGCATTTCTCTCCTTTTATTATATATCTTTATACTGATTACGACGTTGAATTCAACTCTGCTGCTGCTGCTGCGGCTGCTGCTGCTGTTGCTGCTACTCTGTGAATGTATGTACATATGTATATTTATAAATAATAATTGATGGTTATCCTTATTATGGTGTATAAACAGAGTAACGATGACTTATAAAGAAAGAATTCCTCCTTTTTGTATTTCTTTGTTTTTACACCTCTTACTGAAAGTATATAACAATAAGGGAAATAAAACAATAACAACATTATACCCTTCTTCTCTTCTCTTCTCTTATTTATTTATTTATTTATTTATTTATTTTTCTTTGTTAGGTCATCAGTCTTTATATCTGTATCCTCAATAAAATAATTTTCTTCCTTCCTCTTATTGAGGTGTATATACACCCCATTTCTCCTTTGTAAATTCATCTTTTATTTTTTTATTCCTTCTCCTCTACTCATTTCTTTTCTTTTTGTCAGTAATATTAATAATAATAAGGCATACAATAAGGGAATATACCTCTTCTTTATTAATAATAAAATATAAGAGAATTATTTATTTAATCATCTACCCTCCCCTTATTCATCATTTCTTTTTTTTTTTATTTATTATTGCCTCTTCCCCTCCCCTAGGGTTTATAAGAAAGACTCTATACAGCGGCTAGTATTCATGTTTGCTTATGTATAAAAAAATTAGTGTTTAGGGTTTAGGGTTTAGGGTTTAGGGTTTATGTTTTTTTTCCCTCTTTGTTGAATAAATAAACTACATAAAACAATTATACCTAATCAGCTTCTTTATTAAAGAAGAAAAAGAAGAAGAAAAAGAGGAAAAAGAAGAATAAAGTTAATATAAAGGGAAGAAAGGAGACCGTTATTTATTCTTGTTTATCCCTACTATGTCCCTCCCTATTGCATGCATTAATAGTATGCAGTTCTTTTATGGCTAAGATTAAGAAGAGCATAAATAATTACTATATATAATAAGGGTCCTCTCCTTGTGGCTTAGCAGCCTTCTGCTGCTGCTGCTGCTGCTGCTGCTGCTGTTGCTGCTGAGTGTTAGCGTAGCAGCTGCTGTATCTCTGCTGCAGCAACAGACTATTCTTGTGTGTATCTGTATTAAGGAAGAAAGAAGAATAAATAAAGGCATTATCTTTTCTTTTCTTCTTCCTTTATTCACGTATTTATTATTCTTCTTACTGCAGCACATACATGGATGGATGCATGCATGTATACATGTATGCATGCATGCATCCATGCAAGGATAGAGAAACAGTTCATCTCTTCTGCATGCATGCAGTAACACAATAAATAACTGTTAATGCCCTCTGCATGCATGCATACATGCATGCACGCCTGCTGCTGTCTAATAATAAGAATGAATAAAGGATGAATTAACGTGTCAACATCTATAGATACATATAAAGAAAGCTCCTTTATTGTAACGTCCTTCCTTAGCGTCTGTACACCCTAAACTTCAGCAGCAGCAGCAGCAGCAGCAGCAGAAGGGTAAACCTTTTTATGTTTTTCTTTATTACCATGTTTGTATAATAGGGCTTAGTAACTAATAACATCTGCCTACCTGTTTATATAAATAATTTATGTTTTATAATGTATATATACTATATATATACATTATTATGGTGTATATACACCTCATGTATGTATACATATATACAGCTAACTACGGCTATAGTCAGCGGTAAGGAGGTTACTAAGTTGTATAGACTTATATAAGATATAATAATATAAAATAAATAAAATAAAATAAAAAGGAAATAAATATTTATAAATGATTTATTTTTTGCTGCTGCCGCCGCCTTAAGGCAGCAAACAACCAGCAACAAACAGCTGCAGCAGCAGCAACAACCAACAGCAGCAGCGGCAGCCGAACAGGTTCGGGTGTACGTACACCGCAAACGGTGTATAGTGCTGTTGCTTTATATGAATATAATTAACTAAATGAAGAAAAGAATAATTAAATAAAATAATAAATAGGTTTAGATCTTATATTGGGGTGTATCGACCTCGGATATCGAGCTGCAGCAGCAGCAGTTGCTGCTGCCCCCTCGCAGCAGCCACAACCGGGCAGCAGCAGCAGCAGCAGCAGCAGCAAGCATTGTGGCTGCTGCTGCTGCTGATTAAGCTGCTGTTGCTGCTGTTGCTGCATCCTTGGGTGTATAAAGTACGTCTTTCTTCTTTCGTCTTTTACTTATTTACCGACGACCTGTACATACACTGCAGCAAATATGTCGGCTTACGCACTCCCTCCTGCTGCTGCTGCAGCAGCAGCAGCAGCAGCAGGTGCCCACAACAGCCCCCACACCGGTTATAATGTTGTACCCCCTAGTGCACAGCAGCAGCATGCAGCAACTAGCTCCATGTACACCGCAAATGCAGCAGCATTTAGTAGTCCTTTTGCTGATGCAGCAAAAAAGACAAGTTATAATCCTCCGCAGCAGTACGATGCAGCAGCAGCAGCTGCAGCAGCAGCAGCAGCAGCAGCAGCAGCTGTGCCACAACAGACCACTTACCCGCAACTCGCAGCATATACAGGTGTTGATGTATACCAACATGCTGCAGCTGCTGCTGTATAATAATGCATGCATTGTATGTGTAGAGAGAGTAACAGCAGCAACAAGTGCTGCTGCAATACACTGTGCTTCTTGCTGCTGCTGCTGCTGCTGTTCATGCTGCTGCTGCTGCTGCGTCTGCTGTGTTTCTGCTGCTGCAGCCCCCTAACAGCACATCGTTTGCTCATGGCTCTGCCCTGCATGGATCATCTGTATTAACACAGCAGCAGCAACAGCAGCAGCCGCAGCAGCAACAGCAGCAGCAGCCGCAGCAACAACAGTCGTCACAACAGCAACAACCACAACAGCAGCAACAGCAGCAACCGCAGCAAATAGTTGCATCATCGTCATCAACTGCATCAACAGCAACAACAGGAGCAGCAGGAGCAACAGGATCAACAGCAGCAGCAGCAGCAACAACAGCAGCAGGAGATGAGCAGCAAATAACATGTACACAAGAAATAGCGCATGCATTTGTTTATCAATATTATCTTATGTTACATGAAAATCCAACAGATATCTATCGGTTCTATGATGAAGATTCTAAGGTAAATAAATAAATAAATGAATAAATGAATAAATAAGTGAATAAATAAATAAATAGATAATATATATGTTTATTTGGTAAGAACTGTAGTTAATAAGGGGTTAG